GACTCCAGCCCAAAGGGGCCTCCGTCCTTGAGGCTGTTGGCGTTGGTATGGGCATTGCTGGCAGTGCCGCGGGTGTCAGACGCCTGAGGCCTGGGCGTGGCTGGGACGCGACGCCGTCCGTCACAGTTCAAGAAGTGCCGCTCGGTCCGTGAGCGCTTTGGAGGCCCCGCTGCAGCCCATAGAGCCTTGACTCCCTGAGTCAGTGGGTGCTGTAAGGGGCACTGCTGAGAGTGCCGCGGGTCTCAGTGGGAACCCGACGTTTTCATCTGTCAGGCAGCAGTCTCTCGTGCGTTAAGAACAGATGGCGCGCCTTGAAGAAATCGCGGGCGTGGCCCACGGGAGGCGAACCTGCCCTTGAGCCCCCGAGGCGCCCTCTCAGCCCTTCTGCCCTGGTTTCTGCCTCGGCCGTTTCTCGCCCGCCTGATCCTGGTGGGATCCTCGCCACCGCCCGCCCAGCTTTGGCGGGCTCCTTGTCCGCTGCCGGCTCCTCCGCGGCTCTCCGCTGCCCCGCCCGGCTCCTCTGCCTCGCCCGCAGCCTCGGCTTCCGCCGGCCCGACTGCTTGACGGCCCCGTGAGGGGCCACCCCCGGCTGCCCGCACGTGGGTTCACGGCACGGATCGTCTCTTGGCCGTCTAGCCGTTATCGGCCAGCAGACGATCCGTGTGTGTCTGTGTGCGCGCGCACGCGGGCGTGTATCCTTCTCTCTCTCTCTCTCTCTCTTTTGTGATTTATGTATTTCTCCGTCTCCCTCGCTCTCCCCCCTCTCTCAAGCGGATTTATGACGTGTGCACATACATGCGCTTCTGCCCGGTCATCTTGATGTTGTCTTTGCTTGCAGAAATTTCCAAGCAGTGCTTGCACTTAGGGCTATGGAGCACGATCAATGGAGAGGAAGCATCTTGCCAAGTAATTTCCAGATCTCGAACGCATGTGTTGACCATGCTTGAAACATGTTTAGAACATTGTTGCCGATATTTTGAACACACTTTAAAGTCAATGATCGGACTGTTAGGGTGCCAATTGTCGTAGCATCCACCAACTTAGGGATTCTTGCTCCGTCATCTTAAGAGGTCGACATTCACACTTCTTTACAACACACTTCAACTTCAACGATAGGACTGTCAGGGTGTCAACTGTCGTGGCATCCACCAACTTAGGGGTTCTTGCTTCGTCATCTTGAGAGGTCGATGGTGTATTCCGGGTTTCCGCCACGCTGCCGCCCGTGCCGCCTCGCGGGCGCTTCGCGGGCGCCCCGCGGCCGGCGCTTGCACGCCACAGCTCGCACACACACAGCCAACATCGGGACGACCGACACGGGCGCGGAGAGCATGGGTACACATCAGAGGAGGACAAGGTACCCGTACCGCTACCCTTCCCTCGTTTTCCCCTTGTTGGGCCTCCTGGGCGGCCCTCGTCGCCACCGCTGCATTCGCCTCGAAATCCTGGTCAGAACGCGCCCCGGGAGAGGTCCAGGCGGTATCGGTGCGTTTTGTTTTTCCCAACAACGACCGACAGCAGTTCTTGCTCATTTTGAACAGGATTCGCTGTCGGCGTCGCCGCGGATCGTGTCCACTTGAGACAGAAGGCCGCCTGCCAAACAGCGGCCGCTGTTGGTTCGGGACAGCATTTGCTGTTGGGCATTGTGCCCATTGTTTCCGTGCACATTTCGGGCGTCCAAATAACATCTCATTACTTTCAGAGCATATCCTGCACCACACATTTCACACGTCACAGTTTCCACCCGCAGCCCACACCGCACAGCTTTCACCATATAGCGTGCCTCGCATAGCCCTCTTCTCCACAAAGCGGTAACGGTCTATTTGGGTCCACGATTGCTACTATTTGTTATACAGACAACAAGCCCTGAAGACTGTGCAGAAGAGGAATCAAGAGGAGGAGGAGGATGACAATGATGAGGATGAGGACCGTGTTTCTGGTTGTCGCTATGAGACATTCCCTCAGTGTTTTCGCCACCTCCCGCGTTTCGTCATCGTCGTTCATCTTCACTCTGCCCTGCACGTGTTTCTGCCCTTTTCATTCGGCGTGCTGGAAACAATGTGTTTGTTGCTTTCAGGCCAGAGCAAGAAGGCTAAGCACTCAACAACATGTTCCATTGTTCTTTGTTGCCAAAACAGTTTTTCAGCGTTGTTAGATCAGTTGGTCGCGTTGTTCAGCATTGCCGTTTACGACGTCCTCAAGTTCTTCTCTTTGTCCTTCTCATGGTAATTTTCTTGCTTTTATATGGCCGTCGCTGCTGGCTGGTCGGGGGGTCTCCGGGCCTGGTTTTTGTGCAGGTGGTCGATCGGTGTTAGGGCGTTTTTATTTTTTTGTTTGCGTGCTTACTTCTGCACTTGGAGCGGGAGGCATGGGAGGAAGCAGGAACGGGATAGCGGGAGCGTAGACGGCAAGGCAGACGAGGAGCAGCTTTCGACGAGGGAGAACCTGCCGAAGTGATGATCCGCAGCGACGGGCCTCAGCACGCTAAACAAGCGCCATGAAGCACGTGACCAAAAAACGTAGCGTTCGTTTGAGCGTGCTGAGCCTGTCGATCGAGAGCCTGCGATACCGAAACGGTACAGCGAACACCGCCCAGAGCGTTCTGAAGAGGTGCCCAGTCGTTCGTGCCCACCACCTCCTCCTTGAGGGGACGGGGCAGGCTTCGCAGGCCTAGAGATTGACACCAACGCCAATTTCGGCGGTGTGCCTCCACCGAGGGAAGAAGATCCCGATCTCGGTGATGCTGGTAATCTTCTGGCTTCCAAGGTGGCCGAACTATTGCCACCAACACCGAGATCCAGGATGCCCTTCCTCCTGTGGAGGCAACCCCTTGTCTTGGTGCTGGTGCCAATTTCCAGGCCTCCGAAGGCTTGCGGGCTCGTGGAGAGAGGCCTTCGCCCGCAGGCTCGTGGAGGCTTCTGGGGGCCGAGGCTGGCTGGAGGCCCGGGGCGGACCGTGGGCCCCACCGGGGGCGCGGGGGCGGTTCTTCGGAGGCGGTTCCCTGCGCGTTCTGACGCGAGCGAGATGCTTGGCATCGCTCGGACGTGTGCATTTTTCCTTCGGCGAGGGCCATCGAGGAGCATCCTGGATCATTTGGCGAAAAAAAACAAGCACGCGCGAAACTGGACAGAAACACAGGGAATGGACGTCCGAGCGATGGCGAGGGTGCAAGCCGTGGGGTTCTGTCACCCCTCCCGCCCGCGCTGCCGGCGGGAGGGGGTTCGAGGGCCGCAGCCTCCAGTAGACACAGGTGCGCAGCTCGAAGATCGAACGTGGAGGAGGAGGAGGAGGAGGAGGAGGAGGAGGAGGAGGAGGAGGAGGAGGAGGAGGAGGAGGAGGAGGAGCGCGAAAGGTCTGGATCATCGAGGACCAAAGACCCACTAACCCTGGCAACACAGCGACGACGTGGCCTCACTCACTTAGGTCCCCGTCGTTGCATCAGGGATAAACTCATTCTGGGCGTTCTGGTTCTTGGTGCATCTGCAGAAGGGAGGCCCCCTGCCCCTAATGTTTTTGGCCCTCCTAATTCAGGACCCCCCCCCAAAAGGGCCAGGTGTCCTTTTGTTGCGAATTCCTGGAGGAAGGGGAGGCAGAAAGGGAGAAGGGCCGCAGCCTTGCCTGCAGGGTGTCGTGCCCCGGGCCCGCCCCCGCGGAGCGGGGGCCCAGCGGCTTATGTTGCGGGCCACGTGGTGACGCTCGTCCCTGGGGAGACCAACATGGCGAGCCGCCCCCGTCTCTTGCCGCTCGCTCCCCTGAGATCCGGGCGCCTCAATTCTTTCGAGCTCGGCGTTTTCGCATTTTTTCGGGGCCCCGGGACCCTCACAGATCGATCCGCCTCGAAATCGCATTTTTTCGGGGCCCCGGGACCCTCACAGATCGATCCGCCTCGAAATATGACGCAGACGCCGGGCGTGAGTTTCTACGATGTTGTATTTTTGTTCGCTACGTCGGATCTCAGGACCCGCTGCATCATCCGTTTCCCTTGGTCGCGACAGCGGAGTGGGGCCCTTTTTTTTTTCCTCTCTCCGCCACCGCGCGGCAGAGGCGATCACCACGCGCGCTCGAGATGGCCGGGAGAGGGCGGACGAATTGTCCGGCGGCGCAGGGGGAGGAGGGTGCGGACGGCGGCCGCAGAGCCGGGAGCAAGATGGGGGGGTACTCGGTGCGCGAGGGTGCGGAGCTGAGGCACGGGCATCTCTCAAGCTGCCCCCCCCCCCTCCCGCGAATGCCGCGCTGCGGCCGAGAACCCTCGAGCTCCCTTCTCGCTCACCCAGCCCTCTGGACCTCACTCGCGGTCCCGCCTCCACGGGCCATCGCTGACCCCTTTTCTCCCTCCGCACTCCCCCCCAAAACCGGAGGTGGGCAGTGACATTGGGAGGCGATGAGTTTGAAGCAGTCAGGCCAGCAGAAGCCGTGTGGGTGCAGCGAGTCCACGTACGAACTCTGGGAGACCGCTCGAGGTAAGCAATCGAAGGCGTTGCGATCAGTCGCGTCTCCGATGCACCGCCCTGGGCTCCATCGTCCCAAGCCATCTTCTGATCCCCGGATTTCGACCGGAATCGCCAGCGGTCGAACCATGCAATATGGGCATGCTTGTCCGCCTGCCCGTACGCTTGAGCGCTTCCTGTTTGGTACACCCTTTTATGCGATCGCTCCTTTTGGCCGTCCTGCTTCTCCTGCCCGTGTACCTCCCCGGTTTTGAAGCACGCCAGCTGTGCACACACCGATCTTGGCTATACCCACATTGGGCCCGTGATGGGCCCGCTCGGGAAGGGTACCTTTGAATAGCGGGCGCCCCCTGAAGGCCGTCTTCGCCCCCATCTCCGCCGCCGCCGCCGCCGCCGCCGCCGCCGCCGCCGCCGCCGACGACGACGACGACGACGACGACGACGACGACGACGACGACGACGACGACGACGACGACGACGACGACGACGCCGACGACGACGACGACGACGACGACGACGACGACGACGCACGCCGCGCCGCATCGCCCCCCCCACAGTCTCGAGGCGAACCCCTGCGGGCAGGGGCCACCCAATTCGCACCGGACGCGCGCCGCCCCCCAGACCTCCGAGCTCGTCGTGGCTCTCCGCCGCGGACGCGCCGCCTCCGGAGCACGGTGCTCCTCCGCGGACGCGTCGCCACTGGAGCTCTCGACCCCGTCCACGCGGCCGTTTTTGGTCTGCCTTGGGCCGATCTGTCCGTCGAAAAAAAGAGGAGGGGGAGGAGGAGGAGGAGGAGGAGGAGGAGGAGGAGGAGGAGGAGGAGGAGGAGGAGGAGGAGGAGGAGGCGGGCCCGAAGACGCCCCTCCTCCTTGGACGGGGGGCCCCCAATCGGTGCGGTGAGCACAACCTGTGGAGATCCGACGTTTCGAGAAAACTGAGAAATCGTGAGAATTCACGACGAGAGCCCTAGACCCCACCCCTCTGAGCCATTTTTCGAGCGGGATCGATCCATGAGGGTCCCGGGGCCTGAACCTGGGTGACGACGCCCGGCTCGAACAAATTGAGACGCCAGGATCTCAGGGCAGTGGGGGTTCGGGGTGACCGCACGCCCTCGGGACCCGGGCCGCTCTCCGAGGGAGGGAGGGAGGGAAGGAGGGAGGGAGGGAGGGAGGAGGGAGGGAGGGAGGGAGGGAGAGGGAGGGAGGGAGGGAGAGGAGGGAGGGAGGGAGGGAGAGGGAGGGAGGGAGGAGGGAGGAGGGAGGAGGGCGGTGCGGACTTTTGGGGGCTCCACCGCGCGGCCCGTCGCCGCACCGCTCGGGGGCCCCGCCCTCCCCCGCGGGAGGCGCCGAGGCGCAGGGCCAGGCCCGCCCGGCGTGGCCCCTCCGCGACGCTCGGGGCTCCTGTCGCCGCACCGCTTTGGGGGCCCCCGCCCCCTTTCCTTCCTCCTCCTCCCTCCTCCTCCTCCTCCTCCTCCTCCTCCTCCTCCTCCTCCTCCTCCTCCTCCTCCTCCTCCTCCTCCTCCTCCTCCTCCTCCTCCTCCTCCTCCTCCCGTCGTGGTCCTTCCCGGAACTCCGACGCCGTGATGTCTGCCCATGGCCCTGGACCCCTTCCCCGGGACCGCTTTCTCATCCCTGGCCGCCTTGCGGCCCCGGGGCTCGGTGAGGACCCCCGCATGTGGAGAATTGCCAACAACCTCCCGTCGTGTTTTTTTCACAGCGAGAGGAGGTGGGCGCCTCGCGGCGCCAGGCATCCGATGCCTTGATTTGTTCAATACGGTGTCCCCGAAAGTCCCGACACTTTCCCCCATGACCGGCTCTTCATCCCATGCCGTTTTATGACGGCCTTGGGGCCCAGCGAGGGTCCTCAGAGGCTGGAATCGGGGAATCACCTCCGCATGGAATGCTCCATGTACCCCTTACTGGCGTTTCGCCAGAGGGTTCCGATCATGGTAGAAGAGGGGGGCAACAGCAGAAACGTCCCACGGGGAGGTGGCCCGAGACCGCCCCCCGAGATCTTCTGGTCGGGCAGCCGTCTCGCATGAGATCTCTTCACAATTTGTTTGGGAGTCGTGTTCTCGCCTCAATGCCGGCCACCTGTTTGGTCCAGACGGCCAGGATCCCTGGTGCGAAAGCGCGTGCTCTCACTCCGTTCCCGGCTGCATCTGTTCTTTCCCAGGGAGTCACGCTTCCCCTAGTTGGGAAGCTCGCGGAATAGTTTCATGTAGCAAGAATTTGTTCGTTCTCAGGGCTTCTGGGCCGTGCTTCTCCTGCCCCTAGACCCGTCTCTGCACCTTTGCTGCTATCAGGGTGCTTTGTGGGGGTGATCTTGCAGATCTGGGGGGGGTGTCCCGACGACAGGCGTCCGATGTTTTGTTCTTCTTACTACGGTGACACTTTCCCACGACGGGCTCTTCATCCTGAGCCGTTTCTTGACGGCCCCGGGGCCTAGCCCGGCGAGGGCCCCCATGCAAGGTCCGAAATCTGCAAGCAACCTCCGCAGTGAATCTTTCGTTGTTTTCAAGGTCTGGGGGTGGTCCTCTTCTCTGGGCCTTCAGACGGGTCGGAGTAGACGGGGTCGGAGGATCGCGCCGCGTCGCCGATGCATCGGCGATGCGGCTCGATGTGGAGCCCGATTTTCTCCACGCCGACGTCGCCGACGCATCGCAGACTTCGCCGATGCCGATCCTCCGACCCCATCCCGGCGACGAGCGAGGGTCATGATGTTCCAGCCTACTTTAGCCTTGATCACCAGAAAGAATTTCGAGCACCAGGAAAATACCGAAACTGGAGGATTTTCACGCGTCAGGCCCTGAGAGGCGATACTCGTTCGACACTGTTTCGATACTGTTCGGGGCGCTCGAAATTGTTTCCTGAGATGTGGTCCTTGAGTGCGATGGGAGCAACAGAAAGCGAGGGGGGGCAGTGAGAGGGAGAAGCCCTTCTCAGGATGCGGCGGGGCTTTGCAGAAGGCCCCTCCGGCCTTCGGACAAGTCGTCTGTGTCTTCGGGAAGGCCTCGACGACCTTCCACGAGGCCTCGACGACCTTCCAGACGACTTCTCAGAAGGCCCTTCGGCCTTTTGACAAGTCGTCTGTGTCTTCGGGAAGGCCTCGACGACCTTCCACGAGGCCGGGGGGCTTTTCCCGCGCCTTCTGAGGAGGCCAGCCCCCTCGAGACCCCCCCCCCTTCCCGGGCTGGCCTCCGAGAGGAGGCCTCGTGTCGCCGCGGCGCCCCAGAGGTCTGGGCCCCTCCGTAGCAGGGGCGTGCGCGTCTCGGCGGGGGCGCGGGCCATGTCGGCCGCGGCCGCACTCGCGCGGCCGGCGGCCGTGACGTCTGCCGCGGGCGTGCTCAGCCTGCTGGAGGAGCAGGAGAACCAGCTGCGCGTGGCCGCCCTGGAGAGGCTGAACGAGGCAGGGGGGGGGGGGGGCGTCGGGGGGGGCAGAAATTAGCGGCGCCGCGAGACTGACCTCGCTTTCCCCTTCGATGGACTCCTGGGAGGCCCTCGTCGCCCCCGCTGGATTCGCCTCGAAGTCCTGGTCAGAAGCATCCTGGGAGAGCTTCGGGGAGCAGCAGCATGGGTACCTTTTCGCCTGCTCATTTCCCGGAGGGGGGGCCACGAGCAGCGAACAGACCCGTTGTCGCCCACGAGGGAGGCTCGACGGCGAGCCCTGGAAAGCATGTGAGAGAAGGCGACGGGGCTTCTCAGAAGGCCTGCCCCCTTTCACTTGCTCCCCTGGGCCCGCCCCGAGAGGGGCCCTGAACTCTCACACCGGGCGTGTCCGCCGGGGCCCGGGGCCTTCACAGATCGATCTGGCTCGAACAAAAAGATGGTCAAAGGCTTTGGTCGTGAGGTCGCAGTGTTAGATCTTCCGCAGTGCTGCAGGTCTTTCGCAATGTCAGGTCCCAGTCGAGGACGGGGAAGGAGGACGGGGGGACAGGACGGGAAAGAAGCCGAGGAGGAGGAGGGAGGAGGAGGAGGGGTTGCTGGAGGAGGAACATGAGCGGGGGAGTAGAATGAGGAGGATCCGTCCTCGCCTTCCCCGCCTCTTCCTCCCTCTTCCTCTCCTTGGCCTCGGGGGGGGTCCTCGTCGCCACGGCTGGACCCGCTTCGAACTCGTACTCAGAACGCCGTTCAGAAAATGTATGGAGGTACATTGTGAAGGGAGGGGGAGGGAGGGCGGAGAGATGAGGGAACAGAGGGGGGATGATGATCAGGAGGGGGGACGGAGGAGGAGGAGGAGGAGGAAGAGGAGGAGGAGGAGGAGGAGGAGGAGGAGGAAGTGGAGGAGGAGGAGGAGGAGGAATGCTGAGGAGAAAAAGGAGAGCCAGGTTCAACCCAACATGTATCAACGATTCAGCAATACACGCTCTCGTCCCAAACCCGCTGTTCATTAAGCCCTCAGAGGCATGATTCCTCACTTCGCGAAGCGCCCCCCCCTCCCCCCCCCCTAGGGCGAGCGCCCGATGAGCCCGCATTTCAGGCGCATTCTTCGAGATATGGGCAAAGCGACAAGGTGAGGTCATACATTGAGTGGTGCCCCGCGTCAGTCCCGCTTTGAAGCGGAACCGCCAGTCAATTGTGTACTTGTTCAGTTGTTGTTGTCGTTGTTGTTGTTGTTGTCGTCGTCGTCGTCGTCGTTGTTGTTGTTGTTGTTGTTGTTGTTGTTGTTGTTGTTGTTGTTGTTGTTGTTGTTGTTGTTTCCTTTCTTTTTTGTTGTTGTTGTAAAAAGTGTACTTGTTCAGCAGTTCCAGAATTTTGATCACAAGGTCTGGTGGCATCTCGAGCCAGAGCACCATGTTTGCAAAGCTGCCCTGCATCCGTGTAGCCGTTGCGCGATGTGCTGGTGGTGCAGTGAAGACCCTGACATATGGACTACTTTGGTGTTAGGAGGGGTTCTTGTTTTCGGGCCGTTCCGTAATCTTGGTCGGGGGACGTTATGTTGGCCGAGGCTTGTTGCGACCAGAACGGCCCCTTGCGTCGGCGTTCCTCATGGTAGCGCGATGGTTACAACAGTGTCCAGGAAGTTTCAGGCGAGAGCCCCACTTTGAACAGGAAGAGTCTTCCATTTGATTATCTTCTGGACATGTTTTAGGCGAATGCGCGCGGCGCCGAACTCAGAGGCTCATTTTGAAGACGATTCGCCCTGCATCAGTGCAACTGTCGGATTTGGTTAAGACGAGTGTGCGCACAGTCAGGGCGAGAACTCCAGTTTGAAATCGACGTGCCCTCCACTGTGTAGCTGTTGGAATATTCAAGCTTCCATGCCGTAAAATGCCCGGCCGGCCCTAACGACACGCATGGCAGTGCGACAGGGGAGAGTTTATCAAAAGGGATTGAGCGGGTAGAAGGAGGAAGGCAGGGAGGAGGGTGGAGGAAGGGGTCGGAGGGAGGAGGAGGGACAAGGGCTGGGGGAGGAGGAGGAGGAGGAGGAGGAGGAGGCGGGCGGAGGAGGGGGAGGAGGAGGAGGGGGAGGGGGAGGAGGAAGAGGGATGGTTGCGTCAGTACGACCTCACCGCCGTCAGTTCCCAGGAGGAGGAGGAGGAGGCGGAATAAGAGGAATCACATCACAACAATAATAGTCAGAAGTAGCAGCCATGATAATATCAATGATGTTAGACAGCGCTGGCCCCCAACAGTGTGTTTCCAGCAATCTCTACCGTACACTCCTATGTCGTGTAACCTATGTTGTGCAATGCATGTTTCATGCAATCTCTGTGGTGCAATATGTGTTGTGCGATTTGAGTGGTGCAATCTACGTGGTGCAGTATAGATGTTGAGCAAACTATGGCTTGTGCAACCTATGGTTTACGCAACGCATGCTGTACACTCCATGTGATGCAATACATGTGGTGCAATATGTGTGCTGCAGTCTATGTTGTGCTATATATATATATGTATACACATACTGTGCAATGTATGTGTTGCACTCTATGTGGTGCAATCTACGCGGTGCAATATATGTGGTGCAGTTCGCTTGTGGAACTCGCAGTTGTCAACTCCACTGCTCGCGCAATCATCCCACCCGCCCACCCGCAATTTGTTTTGCAACGCACGAGCGTCGGCGATTGCCATGAGTGCTTCTTGTTGGCTGGTGCATCTTTGCGGCCGCGCCAGCCCGCGCATGCACTTGCGCGCAGCGGCCAGCGAGTTTGACGCGACCGACGCGGCCGCGGTGGCGCTGACCGCTGGGCACATCCCAGCGGGCGCTTCAGTGCGACTCGGCGGCTTGTCGGGCGCGGCATCATGGCAACGTCGATAATTGTAGACACGGTGATGATAGTAGCGAAACTGGTGGCGATGTCGATAATGCAGTCGGCACAGCCAGTGACGGCGCCGATGCTGATCACGCCGGCGACGATGACGGCGTCCTTGCGTCGGTGATGAAGGAGTTCGACATGCGCGCGCGGCCGACGCGCGAGAGTGGCCCGCATGGCATAATTTGACACGGATCATGCGCCCCCCAGCGTGCGCGTAAGGGCGTTCGAATAATTCTGGCATGCGGCGCGAGAGGGCTGTTTGGCAGAATGCCGTGAACATGTTGACACGCTTGTTTCTTTGTTTTTAATATTATTTTCTGTTTGAACAATCTTTCTGAATGTTGTTGCCAAACCATATGTTTTCACGTGGTTCGGACACGCGGTTTGCGGCACGCGTGCGCGATGACGCGCGCGTGTGCCCTTCGTTTCATTTTTCGCAAAGAATCCGCGCCATATCACGCGCGCAAGGGCGTTCGAACGTTTTCGACATGCGCGCGCGAAGCCCGATTTGTAGCACCGTATAAGCACGTTGGAACATATGTTTGGCTTCCTTAAGAATTCGCAAGAGCGCGCACGCATTTTTGTTGTCTTTGATCTTTTTGAAATCCATTGCTGCGAAACCAGATGTTTTATACATATATATATATATACATATATATATATGTGTAGGGCACTCGATGTTGAATTCTCTACGAAACCTAACGTTTATCAAGGATTTCGGCATGCGCGCGACGACGCGCGCGTGTGCACATCGCTCCATATTTTGCCAAAATGGTTTTTGGCAGTTGACGATTTGTGATAAACGAGTGCGCCCGCATAGTATTTTTCATATTTTTTCATCGGGTGAAGGGGGGCGATACCGGTCTGCTTGGGATGGTATGAGTTCATACTTGGAATGGACGATGGGGCAGGGGCAGATGAAAATTGCAATGCGAAAAGGGGGGTGCATGACCCCTGTGAGGGGGGGGTATAATCTAAGAACTTGTAAGAAAGGAGGAACTGTGTTTTGTGCTGCGACGGCGACGAGGCGGCGATGCGGCGGCGACGGCGGCAACATAGCCGCCAGATTGGCAGATACCCAAACGACGGGCGGCGACGAGGCGGCGACAGGGCGGCGACAGCGGCGAGCGGTAGACCGGTCCAGTTCCCTAGTAAGAAGAGCCCCTAAGTGCAATCACTGTCTGGCGGGGAGTATCTGTAACCACAACTATTATATAAGAAGATGATGAAGCGGAGGAGGAGGAGGACGAGGAGGAGAAGGAGGAGCAGAGGAAGGAGGATTAGAGAAGGCTGAGGCAGGCAGCCCCAAAAGAAGAGGTGGTGGACCAGTTCTGGCACGAGATCGCGGATTACCTCGCGGACGTCGAGAGCCTCTACGAGGACGACGGCTTCCCAGGCCGGCAGCTTGCTGCCCTGGTCGCGTCCAAGGCTCCAGGGGGGCCCCTTCGCTCTACGGTGCTCATGTTTCCGGCTCCCCCCCTTGCTATTCCCTCCTTCCCCATGCCAGTGCAGGCGCCTCCTCCTCCTCCTTTTTCTCCTCCTCCTGCATGGTGGGATATCCAGAAAAACCGCCTGCGAAGGCGCATCACCACCATCATCATCATCATCAGCATCATCATCAATATAAGCATAAGCATAAGCATCAGCATCAGCATCAGCATCATCAACATCACTATTATCATCATCATCACCATCATCATCATCATCATCATCATCATCATCATCATCTTCATCTTCATCATCATCATCATCATCATCATCATCATCATCATCGCCGTCATCTTCACTATCATCATCGCCATCATCAAGAACATCATCATCATCAGCATCGTCATCGTCAGCACAACCAGCCATACCTGTTATCATCATCGTCAGCACCATCATTGGCATCATCGTCAACATCATCGGCGTCATCATTACCATTTGCCGTCGTCGGTGTCGTGGTCATCATCATCATCATCATCATCTTATCATCGTCATCATCATCAGCATCAGCATCAGCATCATCATCATCGCAATCTTTACCATCAGCATCAGCATCAGCATCATCCTCATCACCCTCATCATCATCATCATCATCATCATCATCAGCATCATCATCATCATCATCGTCATCATTGCCATCACCATCATCATCATCGTCATCATCACCACCAATATCATCATCAGCATCATCACCACCATTATCATCATCATCAGCATCATCATCAGTATCATCATCCTCATCATCATCATTTTAATCATCATCATCACCATCATCATCATCATCATCATCTTCATCATCATCATCATCATCGTCATCGTCATCGTCATCATCATCATCATCATCATCATCATCATCATCATCATCTTCATCATCATCATCATCATCCTCATCATCTTCATCTTCATCTTCATCTTCATCTTCATTTTCATCTTATCTTCAATTTCGTCCTCGTCTCAGCCTCATCCCCCTCCATATCAGAGGAGGCAACTGGGGGTCCTCTGGTGGCTGCCTCGGGTTGTTTTGGGGCTTTCTCGGGGCCACCTTGGGATCTCTTGGGCTGTCTTGGGCTCTCTTGAGGGCCATGCTTGGAAGTTCTGGCTCCTGGGCCCTTATGGGCACCCTCTGGCGCTGATCAGGCCATCTTGGGCCGTGAGGCCAACGGAGCGAGCAACATGGACAAACATATGTTTGAATCATTTGGGCGGTATTCGGCGTCTCCTCCTGCCTCTTGAGGCCTACCTTTTTTGAGCTTCTGGTGCGCTTCGTGAGGTTCCTTGGGTTGTCTTGGAGGCGCTCAGGGCAGTCCTAGCGGCCTCCTTGGGCCCCTGTTGAGGCCTCCTGGTGCCCTCCAGGGCCGTCGTGAGCCCGTCTTGCGAGGCCCGGCCCCCTCCCCCCCACTCTCCCCCCTCTCCCCCCCTCCTCGCCTCCCCCCTCTCTAATCACACTCGTATTTTCGATGTGATATGTTCTCTCTCCTGGAACGGCCGCAGCTTGTCTATAAGATGGCCATAGGTACAGAACAGTCCCTGCTCAACTCTGCCATGTGAAGAGAGAGAGAGAGAGAGAGAGCGAGAGAGAGCGAGAGAGAGAGAGAGAGAGAGAAAGAGAGACAGGGCGATACGCTGTAGTAAGAACAGCTGTGGGCACCGCTAACTTCAGCTGTGGGCACCAGCTGTGGGCACCGCTAGCTATTGTGGACTTTACTCGCTGACGTCCCAGGTCAAGTCGCACATCTCGCACGTTTGGTCATCGTCCTCGGGGTATGTGATGGGCCGTCAATCCTTGATCACTCAATCGTCCAGTATATCGTGTCTGCCAGTTGCCATGCGTTTCTTGGCCGAGGTGAACGTGTCATCATGGGCCAGTCTCCAGTAGCCGCGTTCAGGAATATCATCATTACTGCACGAGCCTCCGCACTTGCCTTGGTGAGGCCATTTGCAGGCATGGCCGCAGAATGCATTCATCTCATGGTAGTCTTGCTCGATGTCATGCTCTATTGGAGGCCAAGAGCCTCGATGCCCCTCCTGCGATCATCAACTCCCAGTCCTGCGCTGACGTTAGTCACCAGCGCGTCGTAGAGCCCCTTGCAGTCCGTGACCATCGCCGATGCATCGGCGATGCGGCTCGATGCGGGACCCGATTTTCTCCACGCCGATGTCGCCGATGCGTGGCCGACGTCCCCGATGCGGCGCGATCCTTCGACTCCATCTGCTCGGACCCCATCTAGGAGGCCTCTGGAGATCCGCGCAGACCTCTGAAAGTTTATGCTTGTTGAGATGTGTGGTCTTCTGTGCTCGTCGCTGTCGTCGGGGAGGGGGGGAGAGGAGGAGCACGGAGGTCTACTACCACCTGGAGGAGTACGAGGACGCGCTGAAGATGGCCCTCGGCGCGGGGCAGCAGTTCGACCTGTCGCAGCGCTCGGAGTACGTCGACAAGATCGTCGCGGTGGCCATCGACGAGTACGTGAAGCTGCGCGCGGAGAACTTCGAGCTGGAGATCAAGAAGAAGGATCTCAAACGAGATCAAACTGCCAACATATAGCATTTAGAGCTGGGCGCAGATGTCTTGGATCGGCGCTGGTCCCCCTGGCGGCGCCTCTGGCGCGGCTCCTGGCGCGCGGAGCGCGCCAGGAAGGGGGATCCAGCGACTGTCCAGGGAATCCGTGCGGACTTCCGAAAGTCAAGGTTCATGCTTTTTGTTTCCGTTCCTTGAGGACCAGAAGGAGATCGACCCGCGCCTGGAGGACGTGGTGAACCGCATGTTCCAGCGCTGCCTGGAGGACAAGGCGTACAAGCAGGGCCTTGGCATGGCCATTGAGTGCAGGCGCCTGGACATGATCAAGTCCTTCATCACCTCGGCGGACGACGTGGCGAACATGCTCGAGTATGCGCAGACCTGTGCGATGAGCATCATCACGTCGAAGAGTTTCCGCGAGCAGGTCCTGAAGGCGCTGATCGAGATCTACAGTGGCACCAAGGACAGTACGTCCTCTCTCCCGAGGTCCGGGCGTCGCATTTTTTTGCACTGGGCGTTTTCGCCCGGGGTTGTTTGGGCCCTGAGACCAACATTCATCTCTAGCCCGAAACATGCCACATAACGATGGGGTCTAGGGCCCTGGTAGTCCCACCAGCCCTCTGGGCGTAGGTGGTCTAGAGCAGATCCTCTTCCACCCCTCCCTCTTCCCCCTTGGGGAGGGGTTTACCCCTCCCCCTACCCCCTCCCCTGGACCTGGACGGGGGGGGCCGCTGGTAGTTAGAGCGTCCCAGATGGCCCAAGACGGCTCCAAGAGCGCCTCAGAGAACCCAAGATGAGCTCCAAGATGGCTCAAGATAGCGCAAGATCGCTCGAGATGGCTCCTAAGATGGTTCCAAGAAGCCCAAAGACGGCCCCAAGATAACTCCAAGTGGCCAAACAGCTCCCCAAGGAGGCCCCGAAGAGGCCAAAATCGTCCCAAAACCTAAGGAAAATCAATGATTTTTGCTTTCTCGCCTTTTCGCTTCCGATGGCCATCCGAGGCCTGGAGATGGTTCCAAGATGGCCCAAGAGGGCCCCAAGAGAGCCCCAAAAGAGCCCCAAGACGGCCCCAAGAGCGCCCAAGAGCACTCCAAGAGCGTTCCAAGAGGGGTCCAAGAGGCGATTTTAGGGGCTTCCGAGGGGGGGCGCTAATTAAACCCCCCCTCTTGTTTGATCGATCTCCTCCAAGATGGCCCCAAGAAGCGCCCAGGAAGCCCCAAGAGGTCCCAAGATGGCCCCAAAATGGCCCCAAGAGGCCCCCAAGAGGCCCCCCGGAGGCCCCCAAGAGACCCCCAAGAGGCCCCAAGAGCCCCCCCAGATGCACCCAAGATGCTCCAAGAGGCCTCGGCGAGAATGCCTAATCATTCATTCTACACAGGTTTTAGCCACATGGAGGCCTCTTGGGGGGGGGCACGGATTAAGATGACTCCAAGAGCGTCTGGGAGAGCCCAAAATGACCTCCAAGATGGCTCAAGATATCCCAAGATGTCTCATAATGGCTTCCTCTGTGTGCTGCCCACTTCTCTGATCGAGGCAATTCCTCTGGCCATCGTTTCTGGATGGGCTGGTGGGGATTCGCGAAGCGACAACAATTTTTTTGTTACGATGTTGCCATTTTTTTGCAACGTCGGGTTCGATGTCCGTTCATGGGAGCCTTGGGCGGCCACATTGAAATTACCGCATGTGGCCTTTCCTCCTGATCCTCCTCGCCCTTCCTGATCCTCTTGCCGCTCCTCGTTCTTCTGTCTCACTTGTGACAGGAGAATACGGTCCGAATCTGGGCCAACGCAGGTCCCACATGTGTTCCAAATCTGGTCCAAACCATGTCCAAATCTGACAGCGCCAGGGGCCATGCAGAATCTGTTTGTTTTTCTCTTTCTCTCTCTCTCTCTCTCTCGCTTTCTGTCTCTCTCTCTCTCTCTCTCTTTTGTTCTCCATCTCTCTCTCTCTCCTTCTCTCTCTTTCTCTCCCGTTCCCCCCCCTCCGTCTCGTCCCAACTCGTTTTTTTTGTTTTCTCTCTCTCTCTCTCTCTCCTCTCTGTCTCGCCTCGTCTCACTCTCTCTCTCTCTCTCTCCGTCCCTGTGTGTGTTGTGTGTGTGTGTGTGTGTGTGTGTGTGTGTGTGTGTGTGCGTATGGGTGCAGCAGCTGGCAGAAGCGAGGCGGTGCCATGCACAATCCATGGACAACTATTCAGTTGTTCGGTGATTTGAGGCTCTCGGGTGCCTTCTTGGGAAGTTCTGGGGCCACCTATGAGGCATCTTGGGTACTTCGTGGGGCCACGCGCAGGCCTAGTTTTCAAGGTCAGTGCTCAGTCGCCCTGAAGAGATCGCCAGCCTGTGTGGAACACCTCAGGCGTTCAGCCTCTTGACGGTGGACTGTTGCGCTGGGGATCAAGTAGCAAACGCCTTCATTTCCCAAGCACGCCTACGGTCAGGAGCGTTGGCTCAGCTTGTCGCGGTGCCGATTCTGGCCCACCACGCCTCGGCGCGACACGCCATCCACGTCCCAACTTCCAAGCATCCACGTCTCGAGCTCCTCCCTGCCCCCCCGCCCCGCGATGTGGAGCGGCACGCCATCCGCTGGCATGGCACAGCTTGTCGCCGGGGCCGCCGCCGCGATGCGCCGAGCAACAATCATCGACAGACCGCAGTCATGGCGGCCCCTCGCATACAGTCGGGGCCCTGAAGAAGGAACCCTTTTCGTTGGGGAGGGGCTCCGCGTTCCTTACGTGTTTCGCAGCTTGCCTCAGATGTTCCTTATGTTTTCGATCGGGAATCGAAGTTTAACTTATGGAGAAAAGAGGCCTCGTTCCTTATTTTGGGTTCCTTAGGTCAAGGCCCCGACTGTACGGTGGGGGCGTTCGTTCAGTACTGTACCGACGAGGCTGCAGATCCCGGGGGGGCTCCTTGTCTGATGATGGCGGCGGTGGTGTCCGTGGCCGATCGCCGATCGGAGTTCCGCTGGCTCCCAGGACCCTGGGCTCCTTCTCCAGCGCTTCCCGACTGGGGAAGGAGGAGGAGGAGGAGGAGGAGGAGGAGGAGGAGGAGGAGGAGGAGGAGGAGGAGGAGGAGGACCCTGGGCTCCTTCTCCTGTGCTTCCCGACTCCTGTGCCTGCGCCGTGCCCACATGGGGCCCCCCTCCCCGCCCCTCGCCCTGCCCGCTGGGCGCCCGGTCCAGCCGCCCCTCGGCCGCGCGCGGGCGCCCCGGCTTCCGCGCGTGGGCGCCCCGCCTTCCGCCTCCTCCCAGCCCCAGGCGCCTCCGCGTCCCTGACTGGGTCGGGCCGGACGAGAGGGGGGGGGATAGAGGGAAGGGGGGGGCTGCGAAACCTGCTGCATATGCAGCTGGCTGCCGGGCCCACTCCTCGAGACATGGGCGCCTCCCAGCGCCGGGAGGCGCTGGGAAAATCAGCTACGTGAGCTGATTCTCTACCCTGCCCTTTGCTATCCCCCCCCCTTCCGTTCCCCCGAGGAGGAGGAGGAGGAGGAGGAGGAGGAGGAGGAGGAGGAGGAGGAGGAGGAGGAGGAGGAGGAGGAGGAGGAGGAGGAGGAGGAGGAGGAGGAGGGAGGAGGAGGAGGAGGAGGAGGAGGAGGAGGAGGAGGAGGAGGAGGAGGAGGAGGAGGAGGAGGAGGAGGAGGAGGAGGAGGAGGAGGAGGAGGAGGAGGAGGAGGAGGGAGGAGGAGGAGGGAGGAGGAGGAGGAGGAGGAGGAGGAGGAGGAGGAGGGAGGAGGAGGAGGAGGAGGAGGAGGATAGGAGGAGGAGGATAGGAGGAGGAGGATAGGAGGAGGAGGAGGAGGAGGGAGGAGGAGGAGGAGGAGGAGGAGGAGGAGGAGGAGGAGGAGGAGGAGGAGGGAGTGAAGGGGCCGGGGGGGGGCGTTCTCCCTCTCCGGGCCGAGAGCGCTGGGATCTGGGTCGCGCCCCTTCCCCTCGTCCTGTGTCCCCCTCTCCTGTCAGGAGGGAAAAACACACAAACACAACTAATCGTCGATCCCCAGGAAAATATGGAAATTATGGGAGGTGGGGGGGAAGACAAAACCAAGAAACTATGGACAAAGTATGGGGGAACCTGTTATTTGTGTCTATTTATTTGTGTGTCCCAGGGCCCCTTCATCTTGCACGCTGTGCTTGCCAGCACGTTCCAAAACGCTCCCGCCTCTTCCCAGCCCTCGGGCTTGATTCACCGAAGCAGGTCTTTCAGACCCGCCCCTTTAAAAGATGGACAAATGATGAATTCGTTCTGGGGCTAAGTGAGCGACACAGGATACCACGGGGTCGACTGCGCCGACGTTCGCGCGTAAGCTGCCCGCGTTAGGTCGCGCGTAAGCGCCCTCGTTTGCAGTGTAGAGTGCCACGCTGGCTGCCCGCGTAAGCGTCGGCGTAAGATCGCTGCATCTTCTTGCGTAAGACCCGTTCCGTCGCTCAATTGAGGGTTGCCGACACCCAGCAATAGTCGGAACGTAATCATTCGTCGGGTGGGGCGGTGTGGGAGCGGACGGGGCGGGCGGGCGGGCGCGGGGCGGCCCGCGTGCGCTAGGACCTCCTGGGGTTATCCAAATCATCAGTGTCGTTTGACCTACCCACTCTCAGTAACGTTTAACCGACCCCTATCCCCACCCCCATCCCTATCCAGACCCCACCAGCTCAGCACCCCAGTTGCGCCTCGAAACCCGAAGGAAACGGCTAGATCGGCCAGCGGGGCTCAGGCCACGTCGATGGGGATAAGGGGTCGGTTAAACGATGCTCACGCTTCCTTGATGGGACCGCCCCCATTCGTCTCCTGAGTCCCCTCGTTTTTCGCCGCTGCTGTAGATAATGAGGTACCAGCAGCCACACACGAGCACGTTTAGCACATACACACACGACACACACCCCTGATTCCACACACGCACACGCAGACGCACACGCACACGCACACACACACAAACATACACACACACGCACGCACGCACGCACGTGCGCACGCACGGAAACAGGCACGCATGCACGCACGCACGCTCGCACGCACACAGACACACGGAGACACAGAGACAAACACACAGATGCACACACAGGCACACACACAGACACACACACAGACACACCGACACACACAGACACACACACAGACACAAACAACACCACACACATACATAAACAACACCACACACAGACACACATACAACGCACACAGCACACCACACACACCACACAAATCACACACAACACACAGCACACCACACACACAACACACACACACACCACACGCACCACACACACCACACGCAACACGCACACGCCACACCATACAACGCACACACACCACACCATACGCACGCCACACACAACACACACTTCACACACACACATCACGCACAGCATACCTCACACACAACACACCCACACATAACGCACACACAACACACACACACACCCCACACAGAACACACAACACACACAGCACACACAACACACAGCACACCACACACAACACACACACCACACACACACAACGCACACACACAACATACACACACACCTCACTGAACACACATAACGCACACAACACACACAGCACACGCACAACACACAACACACACAACAACCCATACACGCACGCACGCTCACGCACACATACACAACCACACACAATCCCACACACTCACACACACACACTCACGCAGTCACACATTCACACACTCACACAGATCACACACACACACCACATACCACACACACACACCCACGAACGCACGCACCCACGCACGCACGCACACACTTTCACACACACGCGCGCAAGCACACACACACATACGCACACACAAACACACACACAAACACGCGCACGCACACGCACGCACGCACGCACGCACGCACGCACGCACACCCAGCACACCCAGCACACCCAGCACACCCAGCAGATCCAGCACACAAGGCACACCCAGCACACCCAGCACACCCACACAGCCACACCCACACAGCCACACCCACACCCACACCCACACGCACACACACACACACCCACACCCACGCCCACACGCACACGCACACACCCACACCCACACCCACACCCACACCCACACCCACCACACGCACCACCCACACCCACACCACACCCACACTCACACCCACACCACACCCACGTCCACGCCCACGCCCACGTCCACGCCTACACACACCCACATCCACACCCACACCACACCCACACCCATAACCACACCCGCACCCACACCCACACCCACACCCACACGCACACCAATACCCACACCCACACCACACCCCCCGCGCGCCCGCGCCCGCGCCCGCCCGCCCGCCGCCCGCACGCACGCACCCACACACACTCCCCCCCCCCCACACACACACACTCTCACGCTAACACGCACACATGCGCGCACACACACACACACTTTCACACACGCACACACGCGCACGCACGCACGCACACACACAGACACACAGACACACAGACACACCGACACACAGACACACAGACACACAGACACTGAGACATACAGACTGACGCCACACACAACATACACCACACAATACACACAACACACAACACACAAAACGCACATAACACAGACAACACACAACGCACACACACACACACGCGCACACACACAGACACAGACACACATACACCCACACACACACAGGCACACAGGCACACAGACACACAGACACACAGACACTCCAATACATAGACACACAGACACACACACACAAACCACAAACACCAACACACAACACACAACACACAGCACACAACACACAGAACACAGCACACACAACACACACAACAACACACACATACACACAGCGACATACATACATACTCACGTACATGTACACACACGCGCACACCCACGAACACACCCACGCACGCAACGCAACGCAACGCAACGCAACACAACACAAGGCAGCGGGGGGCCCATCTGGGGGCGTCCTGAGCGCGACCCCCTCCTTCGTGCGCGCCCTCCAGACGCGCCTTCTGCCGTCTGCCCACACCTTGATTCGATAGCAAATCATGGGAGCCAAGCGTGCGTTGGCGCCGATGAGCGGTTGGCAATCGATGAGACAGCGCCGATGTAGCATCGATCAGCGTCGATTGGCGTCAACGTGACGTCGATTTGGCGTCGACCAGCGTCGATCTGCAGGGGCCACCAACATGGCATGGGAGGCTCCCGCGAGCTGCCACCGAACCGTGAGCGGGGGGGGGGGAAGCCGAGGGGGCCGCACCCGGGCAGCGAGCCCGGCGCTCCCCGAGAAGTGCGCGCCGGCGTGCTCCCGCACAGAGCCTCTTTGGCCCGCGCTCTCCCCGTGTCTCTTGGCATCGCTCGGACGTGTGCATTTTTTCCTTCGGCGAGGGCCATCGAGGAGCATCCTTGATCATTTGGCGAAAAAACCACGCACGGAACCGAACAAAAACACAGGGAATGGACGTCCGAGCGATGGCGAGGTCTCCCGGCGCCCTCGGAGCGGCAGCGGCCCCCGGCACCGAGGACGTCAACTATTCGGCCCTGTCGCAGTGCCATTTCATCCTCAACGACCCCGTGTCGGTTGCCAAGGTCGACGGGGCCCTACAAATCCGCACGCAGCTGCGCGGTCTCCCTCCCCTCGTTCCCCCTTGGGTGCCATCGTACACCGCCTCCCCCCCACCCCTCCCCGATCCCCTCCCCTTCCCCCTACCAGGGCAATTGTGGCGTCATTCGAAGCCCGTGGGCGTCATTCGAAGCCCGAAGCACTTCCATGCACTTCGTCTGGTCTCTTCGGGGCCACTCGGGCATCATTTCAACCTGGAATTAGTTAGCGTGTGTTGGGGCGCCATGAGTTCGTTGGAATCTCTCTTGCGCCATAGGGTGCCAGTTTTATTTCGATTCATTCCCAACCCTCCTACGGTTGGGCCCCGAATCCGATGTTTCAATTGTTGGTCTTTCTATTTTTCTTTCTCATCTTGCGGCCCTGTCCTCCACTTGCCCTGCGTCCCCTTGGGAGTCCCGATGAGAGGCGCCGCACGCAGGTCAAGCCAGTCCTTGCTTCCCCGGTCTCCCCCTAGGGCATAGATGTCGGCACCGTCCGGGCTCCTACACAGCCTCGTAGAGTGGTGCAAAACGCAGATCACATGTGATCTCCTTGTGCTGGGTGCCCTCCACAACTTTTTTATCCCCTAGGCAGTCCCGTGGAGTGACACCACACACAGATACAACAACTCTCCTCCTTCCACGGTGCTCCGGACTGCACAGTGACGCCTCTTTCTGAGGCCAGTGGTGAGTCCTTCGGCGCGGTGCCGCACGCATGCAATTGTCATTCATTTCAACGTAGGTTCCGCTGGGCTCCAGGCGGGCGACGGGATCGTCCGTTTGCCCCAGTGGGTGCGCGATCGTGCACATCATAGGTTGCGCCAGACACCCCACGGGCTACCAGATCGTCCGTTGCCTTACTGAAGCGGTCATAGTCTGTTCCAGACACCCGTGGACAACCAACTCGTCCGTTGCCCCACTGGGTGTGACACACACACACATATGTATGTATGTCTATACGTACATACATACATATTACATACATACCCACCGGTCGGTGAAAGTTGGTATTCGTGGATTCCCAGATTCCACTCTACTTTAACCGCCTTCCTATTTCAAGAATTAATATTTGTCGTTTTTTTTTGGGGGGGGGGGGGGCGGGCGCAAACCTAGTCTACTTCTAGGGTTTGGTTGTCACTTCCCTGTGCGACGTTGGTCGCTCGGCCCCTCGGCTGGCCCCATTCCTTGGTTTTGTTTGTGGTTGTTTGTTTCCGCTTGGCCGTCGGCTGCACTGGTCGCCCCAGGCTCGCCCGCCGCCCTTCGGTCGCTCGGCCCCTCGGCTGGCCCCATTATTTTGTTTTGTTTGTTTTTGTTTGGTTTCGCTTGTCCGTCGGCTGCACTGGTCGCCTCAGGCTCGCCCGCCGCCCCGCGGTCGCTCGGCCTTTCGGCTGGCCCAATTCCTTGGTTTGTTTGTTTGTTTGTTTTTGCTTGTTTTCGCTTGTCCGTCGGCTGCAATGGTCGCCGCAGTGGTCGCTCGGCCCCTCGGCTGGCCCAATTCCTTGGTTTCGTTTGTTTTTGTTTGCTTTCGCTTGTCCGTCGGGTGCACTGGTCGCCCCAGGCTCGCCCGCCGCCCCGCGGTCGCTCGGCCCCTCGGCTGGCCCCATTCTTCGGTTTTGTTTATTTGTGTTTGTTCTCGCTTGTCCGTGGGCTGCGCTGGTCGTCCCAGGCTCGCCCGCCGCCTTTCGGTCGCTCGGCCCCATCGGCTGCCCCAATTCCTTTGTTTTGCTTATGTTTGTGCGTATTTCGCTTGTCTCTCGGCTGCGCTGGTCGCCTCAGGCTCGCCCGCCGCCCCGCGGTCGCTCGGCCCCTCGGCTGGCCCAATTCTTTGGTTTCGTTGTTTTTTTGTTTGTTGTCGCTTGTCCGCCGATTGCACTGGCTGCCCTGGGCTCGCCCGCCGCCCCACAACCCCTTGGCTCCCCGGCTGGCCCCATTCCATGGTTTTGTTTGTTTTTGTTTGTTTTCGCATGTCCGCCGGCTGCACTGGTCGCCCCCAGATTGCCCGTCGCATTTTGGTCGCTCGGCCCCTTGGCTGGCCCAATTCCTTGGTTTTGTTTGTTTTTGTTTGTTTTCGCTTGTCCGTCGGCTGCGCTGGTCGCCCCCAGCTCGCCCGCCGCCCTGCGGTCGCTCGGCCCCTCGGCTGGCCCCATTCTTTGGTTTTGTTTGTGTTTTGTTTGTTTTCGCTTGTCGGTCGGCTACACTGGTCGCCCCAGGCTCGCCCGCCGCATGTCGGTCGCTCGGCCCCTCGGCTGGCCCCATTCCATGGTTTTGTGTTTGTTTGTTTGTTTTCGCTTGTCGGTCGGCTGCACTGGTCGCCCTCAGGCTCGCCCGCCGCCCCGCGGTCGCTCGGCCCCTCGGCTGGCCCAATTCCTTGGTTTGTTTGTTTTTGTGTGTTTTCGCCTGTCCGTCGGCTGCACTGGTCGCTCCAGGCTCGCCCGCCGCCCCGCGGTCGCTCGGCCCCTCGGCAGGCCCCATTCCTTTGTTTTTTTTGGTTTTGTTTGGTTTCGCTTGTCCGTCGGCTACACTGGTCGCCCAAGGCTCGCCCGCCGCATTTCGGTCGCTCGGCCCCTCGGCTGGCCCAATTCTTTGGTTTTGTGTTTTTTTGTGTGTTTTCGCTTATCCGTCGGCTGCACTGGTCGCCCCAGGCTCGCCCGCCACCCCGAGGTCGCTCGGCCCCTCGGCTGGCCCCATTCCTTGGTTTTGTTTGTGTTTGTTTGTCTTTGCTTGTCCGTCGGCTGCACTGGTCGCCCCAGGCTCGCCCGCCGCCCTTCGGTCGCGCGGACCCATCGGCTGGCCCAATTCCTTGGTTTTGTTTGTTTTTGTTTGTTTTCGCTTGTCCGTCGGCTGCACTGGTTGCCCCGGCCTCGCCCGCCGCCTTTCGGTCGCTCGTCCCCTCGGCTGGCCCCATTCCATGGTTTTGTTTGTTTTCGCTTGTTTGTGCTCGTCCGTCGGCTGCGCTGGTCGGCCCAGGCTCGTCCGCCGCCCCGCGGTCACTCGGCCCCATGGGCTGGCCCAATTCCTTGGTTTTGTTTGTTTTTGTTTGTTTTCGCTTGTCGGTCGGCTGCACTGGTCGCTTCAAGCTCGCCCGCCGCCCTGCGGTCGCTCGGCCCCTCGGCTGGCCCAATTCCTTGGTTTTGTTTGTTTTTGTTTGTTTGTTTTCGCTTGTCCGTCGGCTGCACTGGTCGCCCCAGGCTCGCCCGCCGCTTTTTGGTCGCTCGACCCCTCGGCTGGCCCAATTCCTTGGTTTTGTGTTTTTTTTGTTTGTTTTCGCTTGTCCGTCGGCTGCACTGGTCGCCTCAGGCTCGCCGGCCGCCCCGCGGTCGCTCGGCCCCTCGACTGGCCCAATTCCTTGGTTTTTGTTTTGCTTGTTTTCGCTTGTCCGTCGGCTGCACTGGTCGCCCTGGGCACGCCAAGACAGGGCCCGGAACATCGTAATCTACTTGTTGTACTTGTTGTTACTTGTTTTGTTTTTGTTCTGGGGGCGGCCCCGGACGCAATCTTCTGCTTCCGCCTTCCTACTTCATGTTTCTACATACTTCTTCCGACCGGTCGGTACATACAGGTTTACATACATACATACATACAGACAGACGGACAGCCATACGTACATACATAACGCACATACACATATACATACATTTGATATGTGTATATACATATATTTATATATTGCGCTAGACACCTCGCGGACAACCAAATCGCCCGTTGCCCAAGCGAGTGTGTCAGAGGTTGTGCTATACATTACGGATAACGAGGACACCCCGCAGGCAATCAGAGCTTCTTCTGCCTCAGTGGGTGCGCCACAGCGTGCGTCATACATTGCGCAATTCGCTGTGCCAGGCACCCCGCAGGCAATCAAATCGTCCGTTGCCCCAGTGCGGGCCACAAGTTGCGCCGTTATTTGCGCCGTGCATCTGGGGGCAAACAACCGTTCCGTTGCCCCAGTTGATGTGCCACAGGTTGCGCGCTACAGGTCGCGCCACAATTTCAGTCTGTGTCCACAGGAACTCCTCTGGATTTTGCCGAGTTGGACCGAATGTATAGGAAGACGGCGGAGCCTGACGAGACCATAGGGTTCAAGAGGAACACTTCATTCATACCAACCAGTGGTACTTGCATATAGTAGCCTGGTTTGCAGCCTAACCCGCCAGGTTCGAATCTGCGTGTGGCGGCATTCGTACGGTTGGCAGCATCCAGGCTGGGTCGATGTTTCATTTGGATTTGCATATCGCGGTGCTCCGCTAGACCGATTCGAGTGTTCAGGAGGCAGCATCCAGGGCAAGGATACAGAGATTGAGGAGGATGCGCGTTGAATTTCCTACGTTTACATGCTTGTAACGTAGAGGACCAAGGTGATGGAAGTAACCTGACAGTACTCTCCCTCTTGCCCTGCTAGGGGTGCCTGCCTTTATGCACATAGTTCCAGGCGGTCCTCGCAGCACCAGCCTCCTCCTTCCCAGAGCAAGGGGAGGCGAGCTTGACAACCCTGCCACCAGTGCTGTAGTAGTTCAGGCAAAGACAAAAGAACGACTTATCGGAGCACTCAACACGTGCACAACGGTGGTCGTTCGCAGCAGGCATCTGTGGGATTCCAACGAGGGGGCACCGAGCAGGTGCTTGGAGGAGGGCGGCTCTGACCTCGCTTCCCTTCCACGCAAACTTCACACTGCCAGAAGGTCGAGACCCATCTCCAGGAATGACCTGGGCCCCTGGACTTGGGCGTGGTCCCGGGCTTACAGTCTACTACATCTGAGAGGTCGCACCTGTGTCTTAACGGAATCACCCTGGCGGCCAACTATAAAGCCACGCGTTCGCTGGATCCGGGGTCGTGCTCGGGGTGCAGCTGGGCTCCTTTGTCTGCTGCTCTGTCGGTGAATTCGTTGCCAGCGTGACGGTAGGCTGCCTCGAGATGCTTTTCTCGTCGATTTGCTCGCGAGCAGCAACCTTTGAGACAGGATGCTCCAAGCAGCCCCCGAGAAACCATCAAGAGCCGAGCCTGCATAGGCAGGCCCTGTGGCCTGGGACCCTGTCCGGGGGAGCCCCCTGGGAAAAGGGAGCAACAAACAACACTTGCACAGTCTACGCGGGAATGGGGGTTTCAATCCGATTTTTCCGCTGCCGTAAGCTCATAGGGCTGACGGACCTGGGGGGCACCCGGTAACCACGCGATACATGACAATTGCGACTTGGCGCCCGAGATGGTCAAGAGGGGGGAAATGGACTTCAGGATTACGGTGAGAGCTTCGAGGGAAACGGAGATAGATATATTTTCTCCACCATGGTCCTCCCCCCTCTGGGATTTGCAGGGTTTCGTTGGACCCTGCCAGGATTTCTTGCCCCACCTTGTGCGCTTACCTTGGGGAGGCGATGCGCGCCCAAACTCGATCATGAGCGACGTTGGGGCATCGCCCAGGGACCAAGGGGCCCTGGAGCATTCAACCGCATCCGAGTACGACGCCCCGAACGATTAGGAGAACCGAGCCTGCGTCTGTGCAGGCTGGGCGCTGCATGTGCGACGAGTACGACACTTACCAGCTCAGGCTTCACCATCGCGCGGCGTGCCACCATATAGAAATCATTTCAGAGCAGGGCCCACATGGGAGAATCCGAGGCGGGAATTTATACATGACCACCGCCTGGAGGGTCTTTTTTCGGAGCCTCGGCAGGCGGTGGATATGGACATATTCGGGCCCCCGGGGGCCGAAATATATCCATATCCTCTGCCCGCTGGGGCACCAAGACGTCGGTTCCCAGGCGGTGGATATGGATAAATCCCCGCCTCGCAGAGAAGCTTTCTTCATGTGCCGCGCAGCTTCCGTCCTGGGTAGTTTCGGCCACCGCCCTGGGCTTTCGCGGCCTTCGCGGTTCGGGGCAGACGGCGCGAACGCCTGCTGGTGGCGACTCGTGGTGCGACGTGGAAGGGACACTACTCGGGCCAGTTCCTGCAGCGCGAGTGTTTTGCTGCTGCCAACGACTTCGGATGCGAAAGGAAACGTGAACTTGAACAAGGAGTGCGAGCACGGCTTGAACTGGGCGAGAGGATTGATGCGACCCCTTGGCGGCGATAGTACAAGCGGCAGAAGGTGAACAAACAGCTCGCAGTGGTTCCAGTGGAGTCACGGGGGACACCTCTGAGCCCGAGGTCTTCATGTATTACTACTATATGGCAGTGCAACAGTGGGGTGCCGCCGAGCAAGCTTTTGCACGGGTGTCGATGTTTATCCGACGTGGTGACCGATTACCAGCCATCTGTTCGAAGTTGGGCTGTTTCATTGACGACATTTTCAAGATCCAGCTCATCACCTCCCCGCCCACCTCAGCAGCTGCGGCGGTTGCGGAATCTACCAAGAACGATGCTGGATTGGACTTGGCGTTAGCGGCTCGAGCTTACAGGCATAATAGATCGAAGGATGGATTGGTCCCTACGTTTTGGTCTGGGCAGCTGATGCTCGGAACGAAATCAGAGTTCTCGCTGATTGGGTGTCGAAGCGGCTCCGACGTGAAACGCCTGGAGGGCCTGGTTCCTCGCGGTGAACAGCAACAGCAGCGAGCACAAGGTCAGGCCTCAGGCGACCAATGCAGGATGGATGATGTGGCAGGCCTTCTGGCAGTCGGCCGCCCCATGACGCGTCGAGAGGTTGACGTTTGTCTCCCTCGACACTGTGGCGGCCCTCTCTGGCGCTGCGGCATTGTGCCGGGTGGGCCCGGGGACGACGCAGCGGGGTGGGCCGCCAGCGAAGAAGCTTCGTTCAATTATGGGAGGCGCAGCCAGCTGTCGTCGTAGCTGTCTGTCTTGTCGCGCGTTTGGCGCCTCCTGTCCGCCAGCTAACGCGTTTGGCGTAGCTCGCACGCTCGCCAATTGTCTTGCCCACGCGCGCTTTGCGTATGGCTGCTTCGCTTCGCAGCCAGCGCCCGCCATCAACGCGCGACGGTCGAGACCACGCGCGGAGCGTACATATTTTGGAAGTTGGCCCCTGTCGCTCGTGAGGCGACCGTGCAGGTGCCGCGCGCGCTGCAAGAACTTGCTCGCGCGCCTCGGAAGCGCGCCCATCCTTTTTTTTCCCCGGGGGCAGGGGCGAGATGCAGTGGGGGGCGACTTGCGACTGTCGTTGTCTTCCTACCCTGCTGCTTGACGGCGCCATGAAGACCGACGTGGCCATCCGTGCCAGGGCTCGCCAGCTGCGCCGGCAGATGCAGGTCATGTGCAGTTGCCCAGAGGCGGAGTCCTTCTCCTGGACATGCTGCGGGACGAGTAGGCCCACGCCCCCTTCGCCATTTTCGAACCGCCTTGCCTGCGCCGCGCCTGTTCAGAGGTCCGACGGGCGCCGCCTGCTTCCCTGGCAGGGACTGCGCCAGCAGCTCAGCTCAGGGCGATGAGATGACCATGGGAAAACGTTGATGCTGAATTTTTCACGCATTCTATCTGAGCCGAATCAGACGGACCAATATGTGGCCAGGCATTCAGCACGCGTGCTGCGCTTGTTTCGCATGCGTGCCAAGCGCGGCTATCTGGACACGGTGGGCAATGTATATTAAGCACGGTTGCGCCGACTGATGCCTGCATCAAGTGCAACGAGACGTTTCAGACGCGCGCGGAGTCGGTGCTACACGTGGCACGGTCATGGCACGCGGGGAGGTGCATCGCGAATAACGCAGCGTGCCCGTGCATGCTCCAGGCCATGACCTCGCGTGCGCGTGCACTGTGCGGGGCGGCCGATGGCGCGTGCAAGCTGCTCCGAAGCCGTTTGTGTTCACGCCTGCTTCCGCCGCAGGAGGGCGAATCCATGCCGGTGGTTGCGCCGCGCCCGGTGCCGCAGCGTCCTCGCCCCCCGCGGCGCGTTGCGACCCCTGCTCCTGTGCTCGTCTTCGTGGGAGTAATATGCGCGCTGCTGCTGGCCTCTTCGTGCACTCAGCGGGTTCGTGCTGCCGCGGACCCTGGCGCGCCGCGTGGGCGCCGACGAGAAGAGGCGGCGGCCCGCCCCCGGCATGGCGGCGGGCTCCTGGGCAGCGTCGGCGAGCGGCGGGAAAGGCGCCAACGGCGACGAGCAGCAGGGGGGGCGGAAGAAGTCCGAAGCCCCAGCGGGCAGCAAGTCCAGCGCGGCGCAGCAGGCGGAGAGGCGGCAGCGGCCAAGAAGCGTGGAGCCGACGAGGAGAGCGACGCCGCGCAGGGGCGCCAAGGGGCGGAACTGGGGCACCAGAGACCACGGTCTGAAGGAACTGCCTCTTTTGCCGTCGATGCCGGTGGCCCAGCTGACCCAGAGGTCGCGAGCGATGTGGGGGGTGACTGCGAGCGCGGTGTTCGTGGAGGAGAAGGACTCCGTCGTCGTGGCCATGCCAAAGGAGCCGAGGGCCATCCGAGAGCTCACAGCAGGACTGCGCCAGAAGATCGGAACGATAAAAGACGGAGCCATGGGCGCCAAAGGATCACGCCCGAACCTGGAGAAGCTGGCGAACAACCAGGCGACCGCGATGCAGCCGAAGCTTCGCGCGCTAGGCCCCCTGCCCCAGCAGTGTTCGTGGCCTTGATGGAGGCGCTGGTCAGAATGGAGATGTGCCGCCAGCTCAGGGAGTATATCGAGAGCGTGCTAGTCACGCTGGAAGATGAGCCGCCCGCGCGCATTCGCTTCTGTCGTATGGAGAGCTGCATGGGCGAAGGGATGCTCAAGATCGTGTTCGCGCTTGACGACAGGGCCATGGAGGTATCAATCACGGAGTGGCTTTAAATTAATGGGAGTGGCAGTGGCGAGTGGATCGGAAACAGCACAATCGTGACATGATTAGGATGATGATGATTATGATGATGATGATGATGATGATGATGATGATGATGATGATGATGATGATGATGATGATGGTGATGATGATGATGATGATGATGATGATGATGATGATGATGATGATGAGAGTTTCGCTACGTTCAGTTGGGATCTGAATGAGATGGCCCTCTCTGATGGGCCTGTTTTCCACCACCACCACCACCATAAGATGTAGGGGGACAGGAGGTGGAGGAGAATGAGGAGGTGGAGGAGGAGGAGAAGGAGGAGGACCCCATCCCCCTCCAACTTATGGTGGTAGTGGTGGTGGTGGTGGAAAACAGGCCCTTCATTCTCGGCCTTTGACCAAGGTGATTTATTTCCAGCAGGTTGCTCTCGCGCTGTGCCTGGGGCCATCGAACCTTGGGCCGCGCGGCCGAGAGCACCTGGCCCTTCGGGGTGTCCTAGCGGGCGTGAGCTGCGGACGCAGCGACGCTTTTCCTGTACGTTTTCGCGACCCGTTCCTCCTCCTCGCCCCTCTCCTTGCCTATCGTTCGTGCCTTCGGCCCCTCGTCGGCAGGCTGTTTCGGTCCCCGCTCGGCTCCCTTGGTAGCTGTGCTCCGCTCGGTCCCTGCCGTCTCTCTGTGCGCAGGAGCACGTCCGCACGTGTTCAGATATGCTGGTGTAATTTACGAGGCAGAGGGTTCACATTCACATTCATGTGCAACATCCGTCTGCAGCAACAGCAGTTCCTCCTCATCCTTCTCCATTTTATCTCTCTCCTCCTCACTTTCCCCTTGGGGGTAGATTTCGCCGGATTAAACGTAAGCGTGTCCTGGCTCTCGAGGTCTTGAAGGAATTGCTGAGCCGCGGCGACAAGGACGCGATTGTGGAATTCCAGATCGCAGGGGATGGGAGGCAAAGAAGGAGGAACGGGAAGGGGGAAGTTGCACAGGGCAGGTCCCTCCTTTTGGGTTTCCCAATGAAGCGAGAAAGGGTTTTCTTTTGTCAGGGCAAGCTTTCGGCGTCGGGGTATCCTACTGCGTGGGCGCATCCTCTTCCTTGGAGGCGAGGAGGAGGAGGAGGAGGAGGAGGAGGAGGAGGAGGAGGAGGAGGAGGAGGGGGAGGAGGCGGAGGAGGAGGAGGAGGAGGAGGAGGAGGAGGAAGGAGGAGGAGAGGAGGAGGAGGAGGAGTGAGGAGGACGAGGCGGGGGGGCGGGGGGGCGAAGGAAATGGGAAGTGAAGGGGGGGTCGATCGCCCGATGTGCGGGAAGCCCACCCCTCCCGGACCGAGGACGGCGAACCGGAGGCGACGGGCTGCCTCGTAACCGTTTGGAGAGGTGGCAAAGGGGAGCTTCGAGTATGAAGGATGCTGTTACTGTTTTCTTTCCTTTGTGGTCCTGTGAGGGCCTCCCTCCAGACAGCACTGAAGGCTGGAAAACAACAGAGACCTTCGAACAAGGAGGAGGAGGAGGAGGAGGACGAGAAGGAGGAGGAGAACGAGGACGAGGAGGACAGGTGGTCGATGCCCCCCCTCCTTGGGGTGACAGGTTACTGCGGGACGAACCGAGCCTGTTGGTCCACGCCAGGTGTCGGGCAACCTCTTCCGCTCACAGGGTGAGAGAGTGAGAGGATGGGGATCTGTCTGACAGATTTTTGAGGCCCGCTGTCAAGGAGGGCCGGCTTCTGGCCTACCAGATCAGCTTCGACATGGTCGTTGGGAGGCGAAGGGTATGGGTGTGCATGGTCTCCCCGCCGAGCCGGGAACCGACATGCGCCAAGGCCAGAGTGAGCGGGCTCGGCGGAGGCCTGCCTGGTGGTGCGTGGCACGCTTTCCCCTCCCCTTCCACTCGGAAGGGCACCGACTATACACCTGCACCGATCTTGGCCAGGCCAGCTCCGGTCCCAGGATCGGTGTAGACGTATGCCTGTCCAAGTCAGGAGGGCGTATGCACCGATCTTGGGCCCAGGATGAGCGCGGTCAAGATCGGGATAGGCGCATACTCGGCGTCCTCCTGCCCCCCAGGTCGACAACGAAAACCAGCACTTCTGCAACGCGCTGCTGTCCTCGCCGCTGCTGAAGTTGAAGGAGCCGCTGCCGGCGGAGCCAGCTCCAGCACCGGCTGCGGAGGGCGCCGCGGCGGAGGGCGGTGGCGGGGTGCGCAAAGAGCAGGGGCGTAGTGGGTTTGAGGGGACGCTCTCGGCGGCTAAAAGGTGGGGCCCTGAGGGATTGGGCCCTCAGGGCGAGCGGCCTCAGACAGTGAAGATTCAGCTTGGGATCCCTCTCCCATCCTTAGGGCCCCACCCTTCAGGGTCCTGTCTTTGAACCGCCGGCACTCGTCGTCGTCCTCGCCCGGCGTCGTCGTGGTCGTCCTCGTCGTGGTGTTGGTGATTGTCGTCGTCGTCGTCGTCGTCGTCGTCCTTGTCGTCGTCGTCGTCGTCGTCGTCGTCGTCGTCGTCGTCGTCGTCGTCGTTGTCATGGTGCTCGCCGTCGTCGTCGCCGTCGTTGTTGTCATGGTGCTCGCCGTCGTTGTCGTCGTCGTCGTCGTGGCCGTCGTCGTCGTCGTCGTCGTCGTCGTAGCAGTGGTCGAAGGGGGAGCGCGCAGCCTCGGGGGAGGAGGACAGTGTCCAGGGAGGAAGGAAATTTAGATAGACCGTCGGAGCCCCCGACGCCCACCCAGCAGTTCGCGCTCTGCGTTCCACGCACGCGCGGCTGCTGTGTGGGCAGGCCGGGCTCCTCGGGCTATCTTCCTGAGGTTGTTGCGGCCCGCTTTACCAAGAGGGCGGCAGGGGTGGGCAAGCCCCCGCAGCACCCCTCCCTCGCGGGCCGTCACCATCCCACAACAGATGCAGTACAGGATCGGGATCTGGGTGGGCCTCACAGCGATGTGTCGCGTGCGGCGTCGGAGGAGGAGGAGGGGGAGGAGGAGGAGGAGGAGGAGGATGTTCTTGGGGGTCAAGTCATGGAGGTTATGAGGGGAGTTAGTGGAGGCTCTGAGGGGGGCGCCTAGAGACTACACACCACTCCACCACTGAAGTGTTCCGGAGGAGGAAGAGTAGGGATCGATGATTGATGTTTTTTAGTGGGGGGGTGTTCTTCGTTGCTTTTTAGCCTCCTGGGGGGCCCTCGCCACCACAGCTGGATTCGCGTCGAAATCCTGGCCACACAGCGCTTCGAGACAGATCAAGGGGTGGTCTTCTCGCGAGGGTAAAGACGATGATGCTGCTGCTGATGGTGGATAAGTTGATGATGACGATGACAATGACAATGACGACGATACTAGGATGGAGGTGATGATGCTGGTGGTTGTGGTGATGATGCAGCTGGTGATGATGATAGTCACTCTTGGCGATGACGGCGATGCTGATGATTCTGATGATGCTGCAGCTGACGACGATGATGTTGATGCCGTTGCTAATGCTGATGATGGTGATGAGGATTATATTGGTGGTAATGGTGATGACGATGTTGATGATGATATTGGTGATGATGATGATGATGATGCTGAGGATGCTGATGATGATGACACTGATGATGATGGCGACGATGATGCAGATGCTGCTGATGAAGCTGATGATGATGACGGAAATGATGGTGCTGATGCTGATTGGTGATGCTGACGATGATGATGCCGATGATGATGATGATGATGATGATGATGATGATGATGATGATGATGATGATGATGATGATGATGGCGACGATGATGCAGATGCTGCTGATGATGCTGACGATGACGACGGCGATTATGGTGACGATGCTGATGATCACGACGATGATGCTGCTGATGATAATGACGATGATGACGATAAGGGTGACGATCATGGTGGTGATGATGCTGGCAATGACGATGACGACGATGCTGATGCTGCTGCTGATGATGATGATCATGGTGATGCTGCTGATTGTGATGATGATGGATGATGATCATGGTGTTAATTATGATGCTGATGATGCTGATGATGATGTTGATGATGATGATGATGATGATGATGATGATGATGCTGCTGATGATGATGATGATGATGATGATGATGATGATGATGATGATGATGATGATATTGGTTGTTCTTGGTGGTGGTGAGTATGGTGATGATGGTAATGCTGATGCTGATGCTGATGCTGATTGTGATGACGGTATTGGTGGCGAGGATGACGATTGGTGATGATGGCGAGTAGGAGGAGGAGGAGGAGGAGGAGGAGGAGGACAAAGTCAGGGCGTGGAAGACAGGAGCGCGGAGAAGTGCAAACCTCAGGGGCCGTCCCCCTCCAGGCCAGATTGACCCCTGGCGTCCTGCGGGCCTCGTCTCTTCACTCGGGGGCGAGGGGGGGAGGAGAGATGACGCAGCAAGGAGGATGGAGGAGGAGGAGGAGGAGGAGGAGGAGGAGGAGGAGGAGGAGGAGGAGGCGGAAGCGGAAGCGGAGGAGGAGGAGGAGGAGGACGAGGAGGAGGAGGAGGGAGCGAGAGGAAGCCGAGAGGCAGCAGGGTCAGTCCGCGTGACGGGCGGAGGCGCTCACAAGCCCCCTACACCCAGGGCCCAGACCGCAGCCGTCCGCTCTACAAGATCCAGGCCGAAGGGTGGCGGGCTACGAACGCAGTGGGAAGCGGCCGTTTCTGCAGCGCACGGGAGCACGGGGCCTGCGCCAGGCCCGTGCTCACCCTCGCCAGGTGGGCCCACCCGAGGAGGGGCACGCCCAGCACTCCGGGCGTGACGAGACATCGCAGCGTCACAACGGGGGGGGGAAGAACAACAAGGCGACCTCGGCGGAGCAGATCAAACACCAGCCCACCACCGCACAAGTATGGAACTAGTGGGGTCACATCTGGCAACAGCTCGCCGTGTGTTATGGAAGTGGTAGGGCTTATCAGGCGCCGACCCGCCGTGTGCAGCCTACCCATCAGTGGACATAGCGAGCGGAGGCCCCAGCGGCGAACCCACAAGGGCGGCCAGCCATCTGCAGCATATGGAGATCGTGGGAACACACCTGTCAGCAACACGCCGTGTGCAACCCACCCAAGCATGGAAATATGGGGAGCTACTCGGGCAACGTCTCTCCGTGTGCTGCCCACCGACCAATGGCGGTACTGAGATGAGCAAACTTTGAATACGACAAAACGACCCAACACCGTCCCCATACAGCGACACCCACTGGCCAGCAGGCGACCCAGCCCTGCACCGAGGCAGGCGGGAAGCGTCACTCTGGACCCACGAGGCCGCTTGGCCGGAACGATGCCGAAGCGGCGATTTCGAGCCTGCGCACCGTAAAAGGTGGCAGGATTTGGAGCACCTGCCTGGCCAAGGCGCTCAATCGGACTCTCCAGGCACGTCGTCACGATCTTAAACTCTGCCCCGCTCTAGCGCTTCGGTGTATTTCAAGGCCGCATGCTGGGATCATCCTCGATGTGTTTAGCAGCCTCTGCTTCCTGGCCGGGACCTGGCACTAGTATGTCTTGAGCTCCTGTGCCCACTTCTTGGCCGCACGCAGCACGTCCCCTGCAGGTCCAGAAGGCGATCTCGGGGACTCCATCCTGACCTCTAGTCGAATCGACTGTGGGCGACGAAAGTTTTCGAAATGGCGAATGTTCTCGACCTCGCGCCTTCTGCCGTGCCGGCCCCTGTATCTCATCTTCGAGGAGGAGGAGGACGACGAGGAGGAGGAGGAGGAGGAGACGATGTTCGAAGGATCGAAGGATGTCGTGAATTCTTCGGCAGTTCACGGAGGTTATGCAGTTTCCCGCAGTTTCCATACGTGTTCTGAGATTTCCTTCGGTTTTCGTGGGAAGAGGTTGAGGAGGTTTTCGAAGCTTTCGCACCGCCGCGGTTTTTCGGAGGATCCCCGCGCAAATGGCAGGCGGGTCGCTCGTTTTGGCTACGCCAGCGACGATTCGAGCCTCCGGCTGGTGGTTGAGCGAGCCATGACCTCCCCCGATTTTCGGGGGCGGCCAAGAGGGAATGATGACTACAGTCGGCCCGGATGAGTAGGTCGACCCTGCCAGCTCAAGGGTACCCTTGTGTCCTCTGCCTCACGACGCGTGCCGTCTTACACTCCTATGGCGATGTGGCCCTCGGAAGGGTCTTGTGTCCTCTCGCGTGTCCTCTCCAATCAAGGCCGACTGTAGGGGGGGAGCGTAAGACCCGGGTTTGCCAGGACTCGGGTTCGCCATCGTTTTTTGACGACTGCGCCTCGGATTTTGACGAGGAGGAGTTTCGTGGGATGTCTGCAGCGGGAGGCCTCGTCAAAATGCAGGCTCGGCCTCGTCATTTTTTTGACGACCTCGTCGGGGATTTCTGAGTCCCCCGTACCCGGGTCTTACGTCTCCCCGATAGGGGGGGGGATATCATGGCTGGGGCCACGAGATCTGGCCAGATCTCGTGGCCCCCGTGTTCTGTCAAGGCGTCCCTTGGCCCCCCCCCCCGTCCTCGCGCGTGCCTCGGGCCAGGACGCGCCCCGCTCTCCTCGAGGCCCCCGAGATTTAGGCAAGGGCTCCCACGAGGGCGCGAAGTTATTCGCGCTTCGCGCTTCGCGGTCCTCGTTCCTTCTCCTCCTCCTCCTCGTCCTCCTATTCTCCCTTTGGGAGGGCGGCGCGAGAGCGCGAAGTTATTCGCGCTTCGCGATTCGCGGAGCGCGAAGCGCGAAGCTGGGAGCCCTTGCCGAGATTTAGGTCACCCGCAGCTCCTCCGAAGTTGTCCTTTTCACGACTCGGGTTCTCGAGCAGGGCTGGACCTCAACGGTGTTTTGGCGATCTCGTGGGCCGTGTTCGTTTCGACCTCGTCTTGCGGTAGAAGGCACAGCGAGGGAAAACGAGACGAAACGAAAACGGCAAACACCGCTTAGGTTCAGCCCTGCTCTTGGCCCCATCCCGGGGACACGATACTCTTGTCGTGGTTCGCTGATTTGATTGTCCCCGGGGCCCAGATACGGCCTCGAGCTTCTATGCCCCATCCCCAGGACACGTTTTGTTCTTCGTGGGGCGTTGCTTGATTGCGCCTGGGGCCCGAAGACGGCACTCGGGCGCCGATGCCGCACAACACGGACATCCCCGATGGCGGCACTCTTCGCGGGCGCCTGGAGGTTCGAGCACCCACTTGCTGCTGCTGCCCCAGCAGGGTCCCCCTGACACTTCGCCGAACACTGCGTAGATATGAACTTTTGGAGGTCCGCGTGGAGTTCTGGGATCTGCGCGTGGCCCCCCCTGGCGGCGCCTCGGGCGCCGCCCCTGCAGGGAGGGGGGGTCCAGCGCTGACCCAAGGAACCAGCGCAGAGCTCCGGAAGTTCATGCTTGTGACGTTTCTTTTTTTTTTTTTTTCCGAAAGGACCCCCCGAAAGCAGAAAGGCCCCCCCCCCCCGCCAAAAGCTCCCCCAGAGAGTGCCTGCGGGTCGTCGCCTCGTGGAGCCGTTCATCGACAGATCCCCCCCCTTGGGGCCCAACGAGCCCGAGCCCGGACAGCCAAGACGCTGAAGCAAGGGCCGCTCTGGGCTCAGGCAGGCCCCTGTCGGCCACGCGTCAGAGGGCCCCTTCGCCGGAGTGACCTTTGGGTCGGGCTGGCAGGAGTCCCCCGAGCACTGGCCTGCGCGCTTGGCTTTGGCCTCCTCGCGGCCCCCGCAAGCCGCGGACCAAAGGTCACCCCACCCCGGGTGCACTCTTGCGTGTGGTCGACTCGGGTCTCCGGGCCGTCCCTTCCATCCAGGCCGGGGAGCCTCTCCGTGGTCGTGGCTAGCCATGGCCAGAAAGGCCCCTTCGTTCCTAAGGAACGAAGGGGCTTCGTCGGAGAACTGGGAAGAACAAGTTGTTATTCCCAGTTCTCCGACGTCGCGTTTTTTCTTGCAACGTCGACCTGCACCTGCACCCCTTCCCTGGGACTGGATCTCGGGGTCCCGCGGGGGCTCCCGGAGGCCAAACATTGCAAAAAATATGATGGTTTCGCATCGTCGACCCCCAGAGGTCACGACCCATTCCCCAGGACCGGTTTTCCATCCTGAGTCGTTTTTGACGCCCCCGAGGCCCGGCGAGAGCCTCTAGGGGCAGCCCAGAGGCAGCAGCACATCGCCCTTCTACGGGATTTTTCCATGACTCGAGGGGGTCTGCGCATCGTGCTTGTCTCCCGACGAGAAGAGGGGGGGGCTCTGGCAGCACCATGACTGTAGCCTGCCTGTGCGTGACCCGCGTCGCCCGCCGCGGCCGCCCGCAGCCAGGTGGGGCGGAGGCTCCCGCCGCGGAGGCGGCGGCGGAGCCCGCCGTTGCGCCGGTGGACGACATGCCCGCGGAGGACAAGGACCGAGGCACGTGATGTTTTTTCTCGTCGCAGCGCGGCAGGGGCGGTCCGCGCGCGCGCTCCCGTCGGCCAGGAGCGTGCGGAGTAGTTTGTCCGGCTGCTCGAGGGGAGGAGGTGGCGGAGGGCGGTAGGGGGCCGCATGCGAACCCTACCCCTACCCCCTACGATTTCTGAGGGGGAGGGTGGGGTGCACTTCGCTCGGGAGCTCCCGAGCGAAGTGAACCCCACCCTCCCCCTCAGAAATCGTGGGGGGGGTAGGGGTAGGGTTCGCATGTGACCCCCTAGGCGGCCGCATAGCCCAGAGAAAGCGGGAGGGCGCTCACAGCACGAAGGTCTTCGTCCAGAGTGGCCGGTGCGGCCAGCCCGTGCTGAGCGGCCTGGCGGTGGTCGCGGAGCGGCATCACGGCCCCACCCGGGGGCCGAGGTTGCAGGCGCGGAGTGCACGCGGCGTCCGGACTTTTTCAGTACAGTCGGCCTTGATTGGGCAGGACACGCGCGAGGACACAGGACCCTTCCGAGGGCCTCATTGCCCGTGAAGTTCGAAAGTGGTGAACAGGTTCAGGAGGGGAACAAAAACAGACAAAATTAATCGTCGACTCCCAGAACAAATATGGGAAAACATGGGAAGTGGGGGGGAAGACAGAAACCCAGAAAATATAGGAAAATATAGGGAATCGTTTTATTTGTGTGTATTTATTTGTTGGTCCCAGGGCCCCTTCACAGTTGTCCGTCCAGTTTTTCCACGACGCGAGCATGTCTGGGGACGGGCCTGCAGGCAATGGGGGCAGGGCCCCTCAGACTCCCCACCCGCCTCCTCTCGCGTCTTGACGAGCAATACGACGGGGGGGTTTTCTATCTCCGCCCGTCAGCGGGATTGTACTCGCAAAGCTAGCTGTAGAGCTGCGTTCGTATCTAGATGTGTGAGTAACGCCCCGATGTGGAGAGGAGCGGGCAGAATGAAGAAGAGAAGGAGCAGGAGGAGGAGGAGGAGGAGGGGGAGGAACAAGAAGAGGGTGAGGAGGATGACGGAGGTGATGAGGAACACATTACTCACACAACTAGTGATGGAACCGCGTACACACTTAGTGTTGTGAGTAATGTCTCGTAGCGGGAGGTTATTCGTATAACTAGTTGCGGAGCTGCGTTCACAGCTAGATTTGTGAGTAACGCCCCGAAGCGGAGAGGAGGGGGCTGACTGATGAGGCGCAGGAGCAGGAGGGTGAGGAGGAGCAGGAGGAGGGTGATGAGTTGTGGAGGATCTCGATCGGAATCTCCTTGCGTCGAGGATTTCGATCGGAATCCTTCCTTGGAGGATTTCAACGCGAATCCTTCTTCGGAAGATTTCAATAGCAATCCTTCTGTGGAGGGTTTCAATAGGAATCCTTCTGTGGAGCATTTCAATCGGAATCCTTCGGTGGAGGCCGAGCGACAGCGAAACTGCCTCAGAAAACCAAACAACCGCCAACACCCAAACCATGAATTATGATTTCGGGATAAATTCAGGGGAGAGGGGCCGGCAAGGTTCTCCCGATTTGTTTTCCAAATGGTTTCGCTGCTTTGTCGCAACGTCGCTGTTTTTTCGCAGGCGCCCGTGCGCTTTCGGAAAGGAAGGGCACGAGGAAGAGGAGTGGAGAAGAGAAGGATCGATGCCATAATCTCCTTGTACGACAAGGGAAAGCAGGGGGACCGATATACCCGCGCACCCATCCCAACACAGTATATGAAGCATGATGGACAGCAACGGCCGATTAAGTGCGCCCTGGCGAACGCAGCATCCACGCCGACGTAATTCTTGCCACAGGACAAAAGCAGGCGCAGCAACGACCGATTGGACGACATATCGAACGTGACAGGCGTCACGACGTCACACCGCCACGTCGAGAGTATAACATAACAGAGCCGAAGAGAACAGACCGTCACAGAGTAGAATACGGCAGAGACCGAGCAATGCAGTCCCATCATACGCGGCATGCGCGCCGAGCCCACGCTTGCCACAGAAGCGAACAATATCAGCAACGGCCGATTCGACGGCATAGCGAACGTGACAGGCGTGTTATGCCGGCCCGTCCAGAACACAACATGACGCAATCTACTGTCATGTACTACGTCGGAGCAGAACCCACGCGAACTGGATATTACACCAACTGGTACAGCCACCGCCAATTTACGGCGTTTCATGTTACGAACATCATAACATTATCGACCGTATCGTAGAATAATCAAACGCGACGTGCGCTTCGAGGTCAGGCTGGCCACAGGAACGAACAGGCGTAGCAACGACCAGTTGAACGACATATCTAACGTGACAGGCGTCACGACGCCACGCCGGCCAGTGGAGAGTACATCATCATATAGTACAGCATGCTATATCATAACATGATGGGGTTTACCATGGTTGAATACGATGCGAAACAGCAGCGACAGATCAATGGCGCCCTGCCGACGCAGCATCCACGTCGACGTAAGGCCAGCCACAGGACAACGATACAGGCGCAGCAACTGCAGATTAGACGTTACGCCGCCCCGTCGAGGGCAGAACAGCATAAGCCATATGGGCATAGAACAGAACGGGGCCGAGCACAATGTCACAGAGTAAAATGCAGCAGCGATCGAACATTGGCGTCTTATCAAACTCGACATGCACGCCGAGCTCCAGCTGGCCACAAAAACAAACAGTACCAGATTCGGGAGCAGAAGCCGAAGGGTTCGGTGGGGATCGCGCAGAGCAGAATCATTTGTATGCTCGACCTCTCTGGGCCTTCGCCAGCCCTGGGAGCATCAAAGGCCGACTCAGGATGAGAAACCGGTCCAGGGGAATGGGTCGAGAACTACAGGGGTCCATGTTGCGGCAGAAATCACAACGTCGCGGACGGGTCCTTAGGGAAATGTGTCCCGAGGGAAGCGGGTCCTGAGGTTTTCCGCCGTTTTCGGGCTCTCGGGGGTTCTCCCCGGTCCCCGGGCCTTCAGACGAGGGTTCAGAGATGGATTCTGCAGGAGTGGGGCCTCCAGGATACGAAGATTCCGAGGCGGGGACTGATCCGTATCCACCGCCTGGGAGGGCGGTCTTCCTGAATTTCGGGGTGCCCCGGATTTGGATATGCGGCACCGGCTTGCCTGGCGGTCCTAAGTCTCACGTCGTGGAGCCAATTGTGCAGTGGGTTGTGCAGGAAACGCATCAGACTCGGTACGATCGAAATGGACACGGAAATACTGCGGGCGAAGACCGACAGCAAGTTCTGTGTCCATTCCTGAGAAGGGCTCGCTGTCCGCGTCGCCGCGCGCGTTGCAGTCTGGGACAAAAGGGTCGCTTGTCGAACAGCGGCCGCAGATGGTCTTGTGCAACACCTGAGATGTTGGGCAACGTGCCCATGCTTCACGTATACTTTCCGGGCGTGCCAACAAATGGGGGTTCAAACATTAGGGTGCCCCTTGCGAACCCTACCCTTACCCCCACGATATCTGGAGGGGGTTAGGGGTGGGGTTCGCAAGTGGCCACCTAAGAATGGTGTCGGGAGGGATGGGCCCCCAGGGATACAGTCGGGGCCCTGAAGAAGGAACCCTTTTCGTTGGGGAGGGGCTCCGCGTTCCTCAAGTGTCTCACAGCTTGCCTCAGGCTTTCCCTATGTTTTCGACAGGAAATCGAAGGTTAACTTATGGAAAAAAGGGGCCTCGTTCCGTAGGAACGAGGAACTTTTGTTGGGTGCTTGAGGCACCCTAGGAAAAAATGTTTTTCTAGGATCGAAAAAAAGGAGCTTTTCGACAGGAAATCGAAGGTTCCTTTGGTCAACGCCCCGACTGTAGGACGGTTCAGAGCCGCCTCGCGCAAGGGCCCACTGTCTGAGGCCCCCCGTGGGGTGCCGCCTCGGGCTCCTGGACAGTCCGGGGCAGAAGCACGGCGCTGCAGGGCTCGTTTCGATTCCTCCGATTCGATTCGATTCGATTTCGATGGTTTCCGATTCCGATTCGATTCGATCTGGGATTCCGATTTGAGTTCCGATTTCTTATTGGAGGCATACTAGGTTGCCGATTTCTGCCGATCCGACTCTTCCCGACTCGGCTGCCGATCTCCGACGATCCGATTCATGTCGATCGCCGATCCGACTTGTCGATCCGATCCTGGGCTCTCCTGGCGCTGCTCTGCAAGTCCAGCAGCCTCTTCGGGAGTACTCTTCGGGACACGTAGCGGTCTTGGCAGTCTTCACGCAGCGTACGATGTATGATAACTTGCTGAGAAGCACGGCGCTGCTCTGCAAGTCCAGCAGCGTCTTCGGGAGTACTCTTCGGGACACGTAGCGGTCTTGGCAGTCTTCATGCAGCGTACGATGTATGATGACTTGCTAAGAAGCACGGCGCTGCTCTGCAAATCCAGCACCGTCTTCGGGAGTACTCTTCGGGACACGTAGTGTTCTTGGCAGTCTTTGTGCAGCGTACGATGTATGATAACTTGCTGAGAAGCACGATCTGGAACTTATACCAGAAGTGTATGCGACACCAAGGCCGAGATCTCAAGAGATCTCGAGGCCGACGATTGTGGTAGGCCGTTTTTCGCGGGGAAATGTGGTGTGCGATGTGTTAATATGGGCAAGCGTGTTCGGACCAGCTTTCTCATTATGAGTCTCAGATCCTTTGCGGTTTGGCCAGTGCGTGTTTCAGAGCCCTCCACCTTCCTCTTCTTGCTCCTCATGGCAAGGGGGACGAATGAGAAATAAACAGGCGAAGGGGGAAGCAGAGACACCAGAAGGAGAGTTAGGGGCAGGAGAAGGAGAATGACGGTGGGAAGGAGGATGGAGGAGTCTGGGTTGCCCCGCTTCGAGACCGTTCGAAATAATATGTGTGTGTGTGTGTGTGTGTGTGTGTGTGTGTGTGTGGGGGTGTGTGAGGGGGCTTGCACGGTTGCTCATACCAATAGCTGAACTTGGTTGTTTTGTGTGATCGGTTCTGGACAGCTGGCAGGCCAGCGGAGGGTACCGCCAGCATGGCCTGGACTCAATCGCTCCGGCATGGACAGGCAGTGTGGGCTCTGGCAGGGGACCCGCGACCCGCTTTGAGCGGATGTGGAATTCCCTCACCCAACGGCTTCGCTGTTCCAATGCTGGCTTGCGAATCCCGTGCTGAGCGAGAGCGGCTTCTTTGCTTGGTCAGGCGTCGCGTTGCGCACAGACAGCCCCCCTCAGATAGTGTCGGCTGGCCTCAGCAGGCCCTCCGAGTAGTTTTGGGGCGGTCTCAACACATCAGCCTTGGGGTGCGGAGCCGCTGGAGGCGGCGCCAGGGTGTTGAGACCGCTTTAGATTACTCGGGGGGTCCGTTGAGGCCAGCCAGGACTACCGGGGGGCGTTGTCTGTGCGCAGCCTGGAGCCTTACCATGCTTGCTTGCTTCTCTCGCGCCGATAGGAGAACCTCGTCCAGCTGAGGAGCATCCTTTCTGGGCGCCGCTCCATCGACCTCCACCTCGAGTTCTTGTACCGTAACAACCGGTCCGACCTCCTCATGCTGGAGACAGCGAGAAGTGGAGAGAGAGAGAGAGAGTCATACACACATATATATATATATATGTGTAGGAAGAGAGAGAGAGAGAGAGAGAGAGAGAGAGAGAGAGAGAGAGAGAGAAAAAAAAAGAGAGAGAGAGAGAGAGAAACAACAAGGAGCGCTCCCTAAGTTTGCCAGCGCCAATGTGGGAGGCCGCAGCGCAGCGGGGACGGCTTCGGTTCATGGTGCGCTGTGCTCTCTCTCTCTCTCTCACTGTCTCTCTCTACCAGGAGATCATCAAGAATTCGATAGATTCCAAGAACTCAGTCACCCACAGTGGCACAGTTATGGCTCACAGCCTCATGCAGTGCGGTACCACCAGTGACGTCTTCCTCCGCAAAAACTTGGAGTGGCTCGCCAAGGCGACGAACTGGGCGAAGTTCAGCGCAACCGCGTCCCTGGGCGTGATCCACAAGGGACACATCAAGGAGTCGAGGTCCATTCTCAGCACGTACCTGCCCAGGGAGCAGGCCTGTTTAACGCCCCAACCCCCATGAGCGCACATGCTGCCGTGAATGCCAGTCTAAGTCGCGGAACACATCTGTTTAGGCTGGCTTGTGATGCAGCGCGTAGTTACATGCTTTGTCCATTCGACCAGCCCCACGACGCAGACGACCTTCCCGTCTGTGTCGTTGGGCAGGCTCCAGTGCTGAGGCATGGTCAAGCGCTAGGTAAATATGTGGATCCTGTCGCAATCGGGTCATCGCTGGCCGCTTCGTACAAGCACCCAGGGCAACATCGGCAATCATCCAGCCCGCCCCGCAAGTCAATCATATTCCAATTGGCACACCTTCGCCGCAGACAATTATGCAAGTCAGTCGGGTCACCATTGAAAACAAGTGGGAAATCATCGCCAAGTAATCGCCACACGATGATGGCGGCCCCTCGCAGACAAACTGCTAACCGAGTGAGAAATTATCTGAACAGTGCTACTGATCGGAGGTTGGGGGGTGAGATCGCAGTGGAACGGAGACCCCCAACCAGGAAATCGGTTCGTTTCGTTCGTGTCGTGAGTGCGGGCGAGGCGAGGCTGCGCGGGCGCGCGAGATGAATGAACCCACCGTTGCTAGGGCGAGGTTAAGACAAATGATTCTCCCCCTCCCGCCCGTCCGGCGGTGGCCACCAGGTGTCCCGCGGTGTCCCGTGGTGTCCCGTGGTGTCCGCCGTTGCTAGGGCGAAGTCAAGACAAATGATTCTCCCCCTCCCGCCCGTCTGGCGGTGGCCACCAGGTGTCCCGCGGTGTCCCGTGGCGTCCCGTGGTGTCCGCCGTTGCTAGGGCGAAGTCGAGACAAATGATTCTCCCCCGCCCGCCCGTCCGTCCGTCCGTCTGGCGGTGGCTCGCGGTGGCTCGCGGTGTCCCGCGGTGTCCCGTGGTCTCTGGTGGTGTCCCGTGGTGTCACGTTGAGTGAGATCGATAGTGAGATCGATAGTGAGATCGCTAGTGAGATCGATCGTGAGATCGATATTGAGATCGATACTGAGATCAATGTGGTTCCCCGAGGTTTCCTGTGGTGTCCCGTGGTGTCCCCTTGAGTGAGATCGATAGTGAGATCGATAGTGAGATCGACAGGTGTCCCGTGGTGGCCCGTGGTGTCCCGTGGCGTCCCGTTGAGTGAGATCGATACTGAGATCGATACTGAGATCGATACTGAGATGGATGTGGTGCCCCGTGGTGTCCCGTTGTGTCCCGTGGTGTTCCAAGAAGTGAGATCGATAGTGAGATCGATAGTGAGATCGATGTGGTGTCCCTTGGTGTCCTATGGTGTCCCGTTGAATGAGATCGATAGTAAGATCGATAGTGGGATCGATACTGAGATCGATGCGGTGTCCCGAAGTGTCCCATGGTGTCCTGTGGTGTCCTATGGTGTCCCGTTGAGTGAGAACGATCGTGAGATCGATAGTGAGACCGATAATGAGATCGAGAGGTGTCCCGTGGTGTCCCGTTGAGTGAGATCGATAGTGAGATCGATTGAGGCAGATGTTGGTTCCCCCCCCTCTCTCCCCCCACACAACCTCCTTATCAGCCGAAGGGTGGTCGTATAGGTCTCTGGCATCTCTGTCAACACTCCACAGCATACCAGTAGGGTCACAATCAGCGGTTCAATCGGCATTCGCCCTAGAATAGGAGTCCACTTCAAACGCAAGTCCCGATGAAGCAGAGCTCCCAGGCTGGTGGCGCTCGTGGCAGCCCGTACTCCGAGGGAGGCGCCCTCTACGCCATGGGCCTGATACACGCCAACCATTACGATCCGGAGACGAAGGCCTGCCTCCCCTGCGGGGGAGGAGGACAAGGAGGGGGGGTGCGAGGAGAAGGAGGTGGAGGAGGGGGAGGGCGAAGGAAAAGAGGAAGAGGAAGAGGAATGGGAAGAGGAAGGGGAAGGGGAAGGGGAAGAGCGAGGAGGAGGAGGAGGAGGGAGGAGGAGGAGGAGGAGGAGGAGAAGAGCGGAGAGGTGGAGGAGGAGGAAGAGGAGGAGGAGATGGAGGAGGAGGAGGAGGAGAGAGGAGGAGGAGAGAGGAGGAGGAGGAGGAGGAGGAGGAGAGGAGGGAGGAGGAGGAGGTGCAGGAGGAGGAGGAGGGGGAGAAGGAGGGACAACTTACGTAGCATTAGAAGGAGATGGAGGAGGAGGAGGAGGAGGAGGAGGAGGAGGAGGAGGAGGAGGAGAAGGAGGAGGAAGAAGAAGAGGAGGAGGAGGAGGAGGAAGAGGAATGAGGAAGGAGGAAGGAGCAAGGAGTAATGATGAAGAAGGAAGGAGGAAGGAGGAAGGAGGATTCTACGCAGCCTCGGAGTGGCCGCGCCTGCCAAGGGCGAGTAACTCGAAGCGCTGCTGGCGCTGGGGCGCGCGACCGAACCACTCGTCGGGGCCCAGCGCCAGCGCCACTCAGAGAAAACGACCCCGCACAGGGCGGGAGGGACAGGGGTGCGACAGGCAGCCGCCAGTGGCCGCCACCCCCGCGGGACGTGCCTACAAGCCCGGTATTTGCTATCCCGCCCTGGCGTCCAGGCGGCGACACGACACCCACACGGCACGGCACAGATCGACCTCCCCGAAGTCTGCCGAATCCTCCTGCACTCAAGCCCTGATGAGTTTGAGGGTCAGGAGGAGGAGGAGGAGGAGGAGGAGGAGGAGGAGGAGGAGGAGGAGGAGGAGGAGGAGAGGAGAGGAGGAGGAGGAGGGGAGAGGAGGAGGAGGAGGGAGGAGGGAGGAGGAGGAGGAGGAGGAGGAGGAGGAGGAGGAGGAGGGAGGAGGAGGAGGAGAGGGGAGGAGGAGGAGGAGGAGGAGGAGGAGGAGGAGGAGGAGGAGGAGGAGGAGGAGGAGGAGGAGGAGGAGGAGGAGGAGGAGGAGGAGGAGGAGGAGGAGGAGGAGGAGGAGGAGGGAGGAGGGAGGAGGAGGAGAGGAGGAGGAGGAGGAGGAGGAGGAGGAGGAGGAGGAGGAGGAGAGGAGGAGGAGGAGGGGGGATGAGGGAGGAGGGGGAGGAGGAAAAAGAGGACGAGGGAGGGTCAAACAAGGCCTACCTCCTGGAGCAGCTGCACAACGCGCAGGCCACCGAGGCGCGGCGCGCGCACGTCCGCCAGAGACCGAGATGGGGGGGTGAGGGAGGGGTCGGAGGAGGAGGATGGGACACACGAGGGGAGGGGGAGGAGAAGGGGAGGGAGGGGCGCCGCCCGAAGCCCGACCAGCGCCTGCACCGAATTCGCCTCGCCTGCACCCCCGCTGGCCTTCAAGCAATCCGAAATCCCTCGCTCGTCTCCAGAGGCTCGGTGAGTCCTCATCAGTAGTGCGCGGAGGGGTTCCTACGATGGCGTGCCATTGATAAACGCTTCTGCCCTCCAGAAGCAATCGGGTCGTCGGAGGTCTGGGGACGGACAGAGGGGGAAATGGGGGAACGGATATGGACGCTTGCTGCGGGATTGCGACGCGGGAGCAGACCAGGGGTCCGGTTCTGGAGTGCAGCTTCCCAGAGAAAATCTGCACGGTAAAGCCAGCATTTCTTCGCACGGTGCACGGCCCGACAAGCGTTCCGTCTGCCCCTGGGCCGTTATTCTTGTTGTTGTGTCGAGACAGTTTTTGGTACAATTTTGTGGCCTGGGACGTCTTGAGCCCTTCCATGCGGCCCTCTTTGGGCCTCTGGGCTGCTCTTGGGGCGTCTTGGGCCTCTCTTGGGGCCATTCGGGGCCGTCGCGGAGCGATATTTGGGGCCTGTTTGGCCGCCTTGGCGATCTGTCGAACGGGCCAACATCGCACATAATATTCACGTCTGCTTTTTCCCGAATTTTCCTTGGTTGGTCATTTGGCTTGAACAGAGCACTCTTAGTTTCCGTCCTCCTACTCCCGCCTTCTCCTCGCTCCTCCTGCCTCCTGCCTCTTAGCTCCTGCCTGCCTCCTACATCCTACCTGCTTCCTCCCCCTTACCCGCCTACTCGTCTCTTTGGGGGGGTGCCACATGCGCAATTGTCTCCATTTTAGTGACCTGGGAGGTCCCCCAAAGTGACGTCGTACAGGGAAAGATGAGACCGCGCCCTCTCCAGTAGTGCAGCAGTGTTAATTGCGTAGCTGCCGCCAGTTTCGTGGGCTCCTGTGCTGTCCAGCGAAGCGACGTCTTCTCTGGACCCAAACTAGACCTCCCTCCATCGGCGCTGCAAATCGCTCAACGCCACGGAGTGACGTCTTACCCATATCTAAGCTGTACTTCCCCGCCCTGGGCGCTGCCCATTGCGCAAAGTTCGCCACTTTCGTAGGCTTCTGAGCTGTCCAGCGGAGCGACGCACTATCCAGACGACCCGCCAGGTCCGCCCCGATGTTGTATTCTTTATGCACGCCCCCGCTGCGATGCCCCCCCCCCCCCGCCATGACGAACCATCCTCGCCACCCCGATTCCTCGGAACCCCGCGCCCCCTCCGCCCCGAGCTCCGTATTCAAGAGGACTACGCCAGTCCGCCGACCCCCCAGAGGCAAGACTAATGTCATGGTTGAGGCTTTCTGGAGCCTCGTTTGACCGTTTGCGGGCCTCTTGTGGGCCTCTTGTAGGCGTGTCGGGGCGGCTTGGTTAGGGGGCCACATGCGAACCCTACCCCTACCCCCCACGATTTTTGAGGGGGAGGGTGGGGTTCACTTCGCTCGTGACCTCCCGAACGAAGTGAACCCCACCCTCCCCCCTGAGAAATCGTGGGGGGTAGGGGTAGGGTTCGCATGTGGCCCCCTATTGGTGGTTTCGTGGGCACCTGCTGGCGCGGGCGCCTCCAGAGCGTGGCGGGGTGCCCGCCCTCGCAGGCCCTTCCCCGCCACCGTTGGCCCCTACCGCTGGCGCCCGCTGGCGCTGGCTCCTCCTCTCCTCCTCCTCCTCCTCCTCCTCCTCCTCCTCCTCCCCTCCTCCTCCTCCTCCTCCTCCTCCTCCTCCTCCTCCTCCTCCTCCTCCTCCTCCCTCCACTCCCAGCCGCTCCGCGCCCCTCGGCCCCCTCGTGTTGCATTCCGCAGGCACGCGCGCGCGCGGCGCGGCGTCCCCCTTGGCGCCCCGACGGGCCAGCCACCTTGGGCTTCCTGGACAGATCGAGTGGCGATCCAGGGCCCTCTTTGACGGTCTGGGCGTCCTCTGGGGGCCCGCCTGGCCCGTCTTGGGGCTCTTCCGTGCCCAGAAAAGCTGTGCGAGAAGTTTGAGTTTTGCGGTTCGCTTCAGTTGACGTTCCAGCTTTCCTGGCGCAGCGTCGTTCGGGAGCACTGCCCTTTGTAATCTGACGCAGGCTGGCCAGAGGATTCATCATCTGAGCGGGGTTTGCGTCGCGCTGGAAGAAAAAAACAAAAAAAACACTGTGCGAGAAAACGCCCCGGGTCCCAGAGGGGGCCCCGCGACGCGCCCCGGGGTCCATGCGACGCGGCCCGGCTGATGTGGCACTTTTGGGCCTGGGCCCCTGCAGGAGTCTTCAGGACCGAAGGCTTGGGGTTCGAGGGGGTCCAGCAGGGGACCCGAGGACACTCCAACTCGTGCCTCGAGGGCACGGTGGCGAATACCCGCCACGCGCGCACGCACGGCGCGGCGCCCCCCTCACGCCCTGTCTGGCCGGCCCCGCCTGCCCCAGTTCGCCCAAACCCGCGCGCCCTCTGCCCGTGCGTGTGCATTGCGCATGCACGCACGCACGGCACATCGCCTCCCCCCCCGCACCGACCAGCCGGCAACCCCGCGCCGCCTCCCCCCCTTCCCCATGCGCTGTGCGCAAGCGCCACGGCACGCGTGCCACTCTGTTCACGTCTTCCGTTCGATTGGAACATGCCCCAGATCGAGACAGCCGAGGATGGGCCCACAACTGCCCAACAGGGCCCCAGAGACTCCCAACACCCATCGCGAAGGCCCAAGATGGCGCCCAATGGCCTCAAGGGAGGCCCAGAGAGACAGAAGAGGGCCCAAGACAGCCCAAGAAGCTCCAAGACGGCCCAAAAACAGTCCAAAGAGATTCCCAGGACGGCCCAGGACGGAACACTGGACCGGCCGCTTTCCCCGCGAAGCAGTGTGGAGCCGCCTCTCATTCCAACCCCTGGTGGACGCTTTTTAACCCTTCCCAAACGTTGTTCCTGCCCTCTTCTTATGATCAACTCCTCTTCGCCACACATCCAGACGCGTTGGCGGGGTGGGTCGGGCGTTTTGTCTGCAACTTCATCTGCGCGGCTGGGACGCGGCTGATTTTCATGATGTGTCTCCCGCTTTTTGCGCCGCTTAGGACCGATGGTTCCCCCTGAGGAGGCGGAGGGTTAGGAGGGGTTTGGGGATCGACGTTTGATCTGTTCTGCCGTGTGTCTTCGGCGTCACCCCAACATACTTATACTATATGTGCGTCGCCCCCCCCAGGGCGACGCCCGCACCGAGAAATCTCACAGTATATGCGTCGTGGCGGGCGCTTTCTGGCCACACCGCTCGGGAACCGATATACTACAAGATGGGTCTACTATATGTTCGGGTCGGACGCGCGTCTCCAAGGAGAACATCTAGTACCAGTATGTCTTTGTGCTTCCGGTGTGGGGGGTCGACGGTGGCCCCCAGAGACCTCGAAGGACCCCCAGTCCTCGAGGCCGGCCCCCGTTGGCGAGACATCCCCGGAGCTCGAGGTGCTGCAGCACGGCGCCTGCCTCGGCATCGGGCTCGTGAGCATGGCCACGGCGGACGAGAACGCGTACGAGGAGTTGAAGCAGACGCTGTACACGGACACGGCGGTTGCGGGCGAGGCCGCGGCATATGCCATTGGTCTTGTGATGGTCGGTTCCGCCTCGGATAAGGTTATCGCGGAGCTTCTGGCCTACGCCCACGACACGCAGCACGAGAAGATTATCCGCGCATGCTCGCTGGCTCTGGCCATGATCATGTTCCGGAAGGAGGAGGAGGCGGACAACTTGATTCAGCAGATGTTGCTGGACAAGGACGCGATCCTCCGCTACGGCGCCTGCTTTTGCATCGGCCTCGCCTATGTGGGCACCTCCCAGAATGCGGCCATCCGGAAACTGCTGCACATCTCGGTCTCGGACGTGTCGGACGACGTGCGGCGGGCTGCCGTGATGGCGATCGGATTCGTCATGTGTAACGTCCCCGATCAGTTGCCAGGAGTAGTGAAGCTGCTTTCCGAGAGCTACAACCCCCACGTGCGATACGGAGCGGCAATGGCACTGGGCATCGCGTGCGCTGGCAGCGCTCAACTCGAGGCGCACAACCTCCTTCAGCCGCTCATGTCCGACGCCTCCGATTTTGTGAGGCAGGGGGCGGTCATATCAATGGGGCTGCTGTACATGCAGACTTCGCCAGGGAAGACAGACCGGGTTAAGGCCTTCCGTGACAAGCTCCAGAAGATGATCGGGGACAAGCACGAGGACGTAATGACGCGGTTCGGCGCGATCCTCGCGAACGGCATCATGGACGCGGGGGGCCGGAACTCCTGCGCCTCGCTGTTCTCCAATTCCGGGGTGCTTCGGAGAGGCGCGGCGATAGGCTTCTGCCTCTTCACCCAGATGTGGCGCCGAGGGAGCCCATAATATCGTGAGCTGACATCGGGCACCTACACCTATGCGACGCTCCGATTTCTTGGTGTGGAAGTCCGTTGGGGATACGAGGGTGTATTGTCGGATGGGCGTCCCGCTCGTACAGGGGGCTCTCCGCGGTATCCGACACCTCGCACTCGCACCCGTACCTATCATGCCTTCATTCCCTTGCCCTTCCCCGTTCCTCCTCCCTATGGGTTTGAGCGTGTGCCCTCCTTTCATCGCTGATCCGCTCTCTGGCCCCCCTCCGCTGCGAGGCACCCTCCCAGAGAGGGAGCGGCAGGCCGCCCCCCTCCCGCATGGCAGCGCAGGAACAACCCCTTCAGAGTCACTGCCTTGGCATCGCTCGGACATGTGCATTTTTTCTTCGGCGAGGACCATCGAGGAGCATCCTTGATCATTTGGCGAGAAAAACACACACACGAAACCAACGGAAAAACACAGGGAATGGACGTCCGAGCGATGCCCAGTTGCTTCCAGAGTCCAGGTACTGGTTCCCCCTGATCCACATGTTCTCGCTGACGCTCACGCCGACGGCGCTCATCGGCCTGACAGAGAAGCTCAGGATACCGAAGAACTTCTCTCTCAAGTCTGGCGCTCGACCGTCTCTCTTCGCCTACCCCGAGCCGCTGAAGCCGCCGAAGAAGGAGGAGCTCCTCGTCTCTGAGCTTCGACTCCTGCCTGCTGCCTACTCTTGGTCAACGTGGTGCTGCTGTCTCGCTTTCCCTGCTCCTGCTTGTCCCGTCGTCTCTTCATTGCTGCCATGATCCGCCGTTTTGCCCAGTCACGCTGGAAGGAAACTGAATCCCTTTGCGCCAGTGGGCAGAATTCCGGACTGATCTTCTCCTGCACAGTGTCGTCTCCGCCTCCTCCGCACGGTAGATCACACACGCCCGACTGTCAGTTCAACTTCCTGGCAGGCTGACCGATGATACAGTCGCCGCCAGGACCTCTTCCTCCTCCTCCTCCTCCTCCTCCTCCTCCTCGTCCTCCTCCTCCTCCTCCTCCTCCTCCCCCTCCTCCTCCTCCTCCTCCTCCTCCTCCTCCTCCTCCTCCTCCTCCTCCTCCTCCTCCTCCTCCTCCTCCTCCCTCTCCGCCAGGTAAGGCAGCACATGCGACACGCCAGCGTCCACCCGGCACGCCCAGACATGGCTCTTCGCTTGCTTGTGCCGTGCACCCGTATCCAGCACGTGGTGACGTGGTGGTGGGTGGGACGTCCCTCTCTTCTCTCTCCCTGCTCGTGCCTGCTGGCCCGCCTCTGGCCCCTCCCTCCTCGGGCGAGCCGGCCCCGTCCTGCAAGCCTTGCCCCTCGCCCGGCACGAGCTGGGCTCGAGCCGCCCGCGCGCGCGTCGCCGGAACGCTGCTGGGGGCCTCGGGCACGAGGCGCCCCCACCCACCCCCCCACCCCCCCAGGAAGCAGCTCAGCGTCCATGCTCTCGGGCTTCTCGTGTGCAGCCTGTGCCAGTCCTTTTGGCCGCTGCGCTCAAGCTAACTTGCAACGAGCTAAGTATAGTCAAAAAAGACCCCCCCAGGGATCGGAGGCGACGATAGGGGAGGATTGCCCAGAGGCGGGCATCACACGTCTTCGCCCGGGAGCCTTGCCGGAGGCGTGGGCCATCGGTGCCCCTTCAAACGGGTATTGCTCTCCCCCGGACTATTCGCCCCCATCGTCGCGCCCGGAGGGAAGGCGTAGGCACTGCACCAGGTCGTGTGCCGATCCTGGGGTGGCTCGTGTGGCCCTGGAGCCCAGGGTGAGACAGAAGGGGTGCGCGGCACTGGCCGCCCGCCCCCCGCCCCCCAGAGCGAAGGGGGAGCATACAGCAGCTGAGCTTCACTCAGCAGGCCACAACCCCTGGCCCGAACCCGGATAACACAGTGTATTCGTGGCCTAACCTGGTGGTCCTCGGTTTTGAGGCTCATCCCTAATCGTGTGGGTGGTCTCGTCTGACATGTCTGCCACAAGGGCCTCCTACTCCTAGTGCTGTTTGGTCCTCCTAACTTAGGCCCCCTCCCAGAGGGTCAGGGGTACTTCTCTTGCTTCTCATACCTGCCCTGATGCGCCCGTTTTGAAACTCACCACGTACCGTGTTCAAAAGGTCCGTGTTAGCACGCTGCGTGTTGGCTCGGCACGGGCCGCGCCAGACCTGTTTACGTGTTCAGTCTACGCGCTGAGCTTCGTGCCAACACGCTGCGGATTGTGTGTTGCGTATCGGGGCGGCTAAGCCCAGCAGTGAGACAACAGGCCCCCCCCTCCCAGAGCAGCGCCCGGGGGCGTTGGGGGCGCAGAGGCCGAAGGCTGGACCAGCCCCCGCCTGCCGACCTGCGAAAGAGTGGCGCTTCGCCTGAGTGGTCTCTGCTTTGGGCCTGCCAGGGCACTCTGATCGCTGAACGTGATGCGTTATGAGCAGCTTGCGTGTGCCCCCCCCCCCCCCCGCGCCCCCTGAAGCCGCGCACTGCGCGTCAAAGGGCACTCTGGCATAGGGCCACTCTCGCGTGCAGCCTACCCTGGAGCGCCTACACCAGGTGCTCTTTCGGTGGCAGGTCATGGGTGCCTTGCATACATTCGTAAGTGTGTCTGCAGAACGCACTACCTTCGATTATCATCGGATAATCGATGCGATAGCGCCGGTTTAGCGTCGATTTGCGTCGATGTTGGACCCATTAGCGTCGATGGGCGTTGATTTAGCATCGATTCGCCAGGGCCAACAGGTTGGTATGGGAGGCTCCCGTGAGCTGCCACCGACTGCTCTCGGCAATTTCGGGCGCAGCGCCGATGCGCGGCTTTCATCTCGAGGGGTGGCACATTTGTCACCAGGATTGAACATAGACACAGACACTTAGACACACACTCACATAAACGTCGATCCCCAGAAACAGATGGGAGCGCTCCTCTGGGCTCCTTTATGACATTCAGTTGGCCAGCCGGGCCATCGCGCCTGGAGATGGAGGCCTGAGGGCGAAGCCTGCGGCGACGCAGGTCGAGGGCGGCGCCAACGTGCAGTTCTCGCAGGGGGGGCCGAACACCGTGCACGGCCAGGTCGCGGACCCGCACACACTCACAGGAGGGGCTCGCAGCTGGAAATCGACGATCCGCACAAGCTCCTCGGCCTCAGGTACACACTCATCCAAGGGTATACCAGCACTGTCAGACACCCATGAGGAGTAGGCTGGCGTGGTGCCGCTCGCTGGCACGAAGGGGCAGGAAGCTCCGAATACGAAGGGGCCAGGCCCTGAGGCTAGCGAACCCACCGTGCGGCGGCGCGCGGGCTGTACTGCGCATGACGGCAGTTGCACTGTGCGTTCCTCGCGGGTTTTGCTCGTCTCGCCCGGGTGGCCGGGTCTGAGGTCGAGGTCGGGGGCTCCGCATCGATGGTTTCCTAGGGTGGGTCCGAGGCCCCTCGTCGCCGAAGATGCTGTCCGGCGATCCACGTGCGCAGGCGCCCGAGTGCTCCCTGCGTCGGCCACGCGAGTGCAGGCCCGCTTTGGGGCGTTCTCCATTCGCCCACCCTCCCCGTCCCATGAAGTTGTGTCTCAAGCTATGTCTGAGCAGGGCAAGATTACCAGCCTCGAACGTATCCCTATCCCTAAGATTGACACGCCAAAAGGCGATGACAATCTTAGGGATCCGCCCTCAAAAAATAAGGGAATCCCTAAGATTGGCATCGTGATGAGGAGGTGCCCAGCATAGGGATAGGGATATGTTCCAGGCTGGTAACAAGATTGTATTTCAGGAGTTCTCTAACTAGATTGACATCGGCCGTCCGTGCCCTCGCTATGACTGCCTGACTGCTGGCTTGCATTCCGGACCTGCTGTGCTCCCTTGCCGTCGCCATGATGATCACGAGAAGCTGTTTTTGTCGATTCCCCTCTGGCGCGAGCTCCCTGAAGCGGGTGACGGCTTTCGTCCCCGTGGACCCGCTCTGGTCGCGGAGTGTCGGCATCTTCTCCATTGCGATGCCCCACACTTTCTACAGCGATCTCGACGCGATGGCCACCGCTATCTCCTCATCTTCTCCCCTGCGAGTTCCCCACGCGATTGACCGCGCCACCACGTCATAGCCGCGCCAGTTTTCTCGAACCTCAACGTCGCAGCATCGCGCGTTCCTGGAACCCACCTTAACTGCCGACCAGGCTCCTGCTCATGCGCGCGCCTCTCTGCATTCTGACGTCGTTCAGCCCGTGCTTCGAGCATCTGTGGGAGCTTCGTGCCACGGTGGGCGCCGCCCCCAAGGCGCGCACGGGGCCAAAGCGGGCTCATCCACGCCAGTCTCGCGAGGCACAGAACCAGCTTGCTGCCCCCCCCCTGGTGCTTACACAGTGGCCCCCTGCAGCGCAACACTTGTTTCTGGTCTTGGATACCGTGATCGCCATGCTGGAGACCGTCTGGGAGCACGACGTGTTCGTACTTCGCGCAGAGCTTGGTCAACGCGGATACCTCCCGCATTCGTGGACAAATCTGCAAAGGGGAAGGATGCGCATGCGAGTTACGGCAGGTTCGTGTCGTGTCGACGTGGCGGCGACCCCACCGTGGGCGTTCAAGGTTCAACCTCGCGAGTGGGTCAGAATCAGTCAACATCGACCCAACTGGCGATCGAAAAAGCCGCCGATCATTCAAGGTTGAACGATCCACGCTGTGTCAGCAACCAACGCTGGGCTCGTCACGACACAAACTTGCCGCAGCAAAAAGGAAAAGCGACGACGCCATGACACGCTGCCAACCCAGGGATCTCACGCGAACAGACTCGGATACCGGATTTCGAGCAGGTCCACATGCTGGCCAGGCCGAGGCCCTCGAGCGCACAGAGGACGCGCACTAAGCATGCCCGCGACGGAACAGTCGCGCCTCCGTTGCCGAGAGATGCTGGATGAGGTCTCGTAGAGGCTGGCCGGCGGCAGGCTCGTGGGCATCCTTGTGATTCAGAAGCGCTGATTGTGCTGATGTGCTTCCTGCCCAGCCCTCCTCGTCCTCTTCCCCCTCCTCCTCCTCCTCCTCCTCCTCCAACTCCTCCACCTCCTCCTCCTTTTCCTCCTACTCCTCCTCCTCCTCCTCCTGCTCCTCATCCTCCCTCCCCAGGCACTTGCAAGTGCTGCTGCGCTGACGACTGCCGACCTCCCCGGAGGCCAGATAAGCCGGCGCCTCGCATCGCTGCAGACGCTGCGGTTGGGTCTCAAGCCTCATGCCTCGCCACCTCACTTTACCCCGAGTCCCCGTCCCTCTGCTCCAGCTGCTCGTCCTGCTGCTGCTGCTGCTCCTCCTCCTCGTCCTCGTCCTCCTCCTCCTCCTCCTCCTCCTCCTCCTCTTCCAGGAGCAGGCAAAGGCGGCCACCGCAGTGCTCTCCACGGCGGCGAAGGCGAAGGCGCTGCGGGAGAAGAAGGAGAAGGAGAGCACGGACAAGAAGCAGGAGGCCGCCGCCGACATGGACGTGGACGACAAGGCCCGATCGTTGGGGCTACGAAGCGGCGGCAAGGGCGCACCTTTTGCTCGGAGACTGGAGCACATAAACTTGGCACCGCTCGGACGTGTGCATTTTTCCTTCGGCGAGGACCATCGAGGAGCATCCTCGATCATTTAGCGAAAAAAAACACGCACGAAACCGAAGCAAAAACACAGGGAATGGACGTCCGAGCAATTGCCAGCACATTACCAGCGGCGGGCGGTTTTTCAATCCCAGGACTTTTCTGAGGGTCGGGGACGACGTCGGCCTAACATACGCTGGTGTCCCAGATGGTCCAGATGCCACGCTCGTTCATCGGCCCCCCCAATGGGGTTTAATGCTTTTTAATGGGTTTAATGCTTTTTAATCCTTCCGACGAAAACCTCCCAGTAGTTGCCTCCTAACATACGCTGGTGTCCCAGATGGTCCAGATGCCACGCTCGTTCATCGGCCGCGCGCAGAGGGGCGTAGGGGGGAGGGGGGAAGGCTCCTTGGAAGGAGGCTGCTTCTCAGGAGACGCGGGCCTAGAAGGAGGCTTCTTAGAAGGAGGCTTCTTAGAAGGAGGCTGCTTCTCAGAAGAAGGAGGCTTCTTAGAAGGAGGCTGCCTCGTCTACGAATGTAAGGCTGGCGCCCCTTCAGACGCAGCCTCCTTCCAAGACGCCCTCCCCCCTCCCCCTGCCCCCACCCTCTGCGCGCCGCCAAATTCTCCCAGCCCGTCGTGTCTGGAGGATCTGTCCAGGAGGGTTGCCCGTCTTCTAGCCACGCGAACGCGGCCCGATCTTGCAGGCTGGCCAAGTGGCTGCTCAAGATTCCGCTACAAAGATGGCCCAGGTTCTTTGGACCCCCCCCCCCAAACGGCCTCGCCTGAATCACAAGCCCAGCCGCAGCTGTCCTGGAATTTAGGTATTGTGAGAGCTTCTGTGAGGCGTCCGTTGCCGGCACGGCCAACTCTGCGGCCAACATGTCCATGTCCGTGGCGTCCGTGGCCGGCACAACCCAAGGCATTCGGGAGGAGAGAAGGGTTCGGCGCTGCATGTCGCCTCTGTTTGTGAGGAGCACCCCTTTCCTCCTCCTCCTCCTCCTCCTCCTCCTTCGCTTGCTCCGTCCTGCCCTCCCTCTCCTCGTCCCTCTCCATTACCCTCCTCTCACCTGCCACCTCCTTCTCCGCATCCGCCGCCTCTTCTTCCTCCTCTTTTGAAAAAAGAGAAGGAGGAAGAGGAAGAGGAGGAGGAGGAGAAGCAGGAGGAGGGAGGAGGAGAAGGAGGAAGAGGAGGAGGAGGAGGAGGAGGAGGAGGAGGAGGAGCGTGGAGTAGGAGTAGGAGGAGGATGGGGACGATATGCAGCCGCGCTCTGCTGGAAAGCTGGCTTGTCCGTGTGTCAGCTACGCTTCTGCGGGGCCCCGAGGCGCATCTGTGGCGGCGACGCCAGGGACCACCATCGTTGGATCCGCAGCCACCGAGTCCGTGGCTGCAGACGACCTGGAGAGCCCCCTTCTTCACGGAGGAGGAGGGGGAGGAGGAGGAGGATGAGAGGGGTGGGGAGGGGAGAAGGATCAGGTTGGAGAGAGGGGAGATGGTAAGGAGGAGGAGGAGGAGGAGGAGGAGGATGAGGATGAGGAAGGCTGCCGGGTGGATGACGAGAGGGGGAGAAGGATCGGGAAGGAGGGAGGATGCGACCGGTTTTGTATGCCTTGCCCTCTTTGTGGCCTCCTGGAAGACCCTCGTCGCCACAGACGGGTTCGCGCCGAAGTGCTGGCCAGAAAGCGCTCTGAGCGGTTCGGAGAGAGCACCACACATGTTGCTCTGAATTTCTCACGCGCGTTGGGATGCAGGCAAAACGCTGACAAACACAGCACGTTAGTATCACGAGGTGCTCTGGCGCTTGGGCCGCTCCTTGGATCTACGCAGGTCGGGGAGACTGCTCGTGGCCGAGGCTCGCCGTGGCCAGAGCATCCTCTTCTTTCCTTGCTCAGCGTTCCGTTCCCTGTGGCAGCACGATGATTGTACATAATTGTTTTGCCAATGACGCTTGGCAAGTCCTCCGTTGTGCAATTGATTTCGCACAGCCGCCTGGCAACGCTGGCACGTTTTCCCGCTGCGCGAGTGAGACTTGCTCAATGACGCGGATCTGTGGGATATCTGGTTTGGACCCTTCTTGGGCAGTTCTCCTTTGCAGGATGGGGAGTGTGCTGTTCCCCGTATGTGGAGGACTTGTCCGCGAGTTGATCCCTTTTCCCACTGTGAGCGGAACTGCTGCGGGCAGTTCTCCCACGCACGTTCTTTAGCTTCCGCGGACACCTCCCTAAACCTTTTCCAGACTTCACCCTCAGGGAGCAGGCTACTGGGCAGTTCTCCCACACACAGTTCTAGAGTTGCTAGGACACGTAGGGAGTACTCGCATGCGTGCCAGGAAACTTGCCCCGCAACGCGAGGCCCTCACGCCGCTGGAGCCACTTGGAGGTTTCCCAATCCACTTCTGCCAGTTCATACACCCTCACTGGGGGGTCTACCACCCACCCAATCCATCATGGTTTCCACATTCCACCGCCGCGGATTTCACAGCTGCTCAGCGGGTTCGACAACCTGTCCCCGCCACTTCTTAAATAGTTGCCCCTAGGTGCCCGAGTGGCCCGAGTAGCCCGATTGACCCAAGTGGGTCGAATGGCCCAAGTGGTCTCAGCGACCTTTGTAGTAGCCTGATGTTTCCCAAGTGACCGTGAGGCCCCTACTGCCGAAGTGGCTCAGGTGGCTCGAGTTGTCCATGTGCCCCCGGTTGCCAGAGCGATCTGCACAAGTCCCTCATGTGGCCCCGGTGGCCCAAGGGGCCCGAAACCCGCCGACGGTTCCACAACCCACGAAAGCCAGATCCATGACATTCAGATGACGGGGTGATATCGCAACGGGACGGGTGAGATCCCAACCGACAGGGTTAAATCCGAATAGGTCACGTAATCCAGAAAGGGAGAGATCCCAACGGGCGGAAACAGGTCTGTTCAACATTCTTATTGCGTGATCATCTTGGCAATGGAAATTGGATGGTATCTCTAAAGGGGCCTCACACGAGTTTCATCGTGCGCCGTTAGGATCTCCACCGCCCCACTGCCCTATGATAACGGAGTCCTCAGTACTCCAAGACGGCCCAATCTGGACTCAAGACGCTTCAAGACGGCCGCCAGATTGTTCAAAAGGCCCCCAAGACGGCTTCAACAGGCCTTCTAGGAGGGCCCGAAGGAGCCACACTCATTAACTTTCATGTGGGGTTTTAGCGGTTTCGCGTTTTCGCCTTTCCGAGCTTTCGACGTCACCAAGACGGCCCAACAGGCCCCCGAATAGACCTTCAGATTGACCAAGAAGGTCCCAAGACGGCCCAAGAGCATCAAGACGGCCCCAAGACGACCCGAGAGACTTCCAAGACGGCTTGACAGCGCCGCAAGAAGGGCCCAAGACAGCCTTCAGAGGCCCATAGAGGCCCTCAAGCTTGCCTCCGGAGGCTTCGGGCGGGCCAAGGGCGGCCCAAGTCAGCCCAAGAGGCTCCCCCCAGGCCCAGGAAGACCTGACCAGAGACCCCCAAGGGTTCCCCAAGAGGCCCCCACGAGGCTCCCAAGAGGCCCCCAAAAGACCCCGTCTCTTCCCTGACCTGTTCCTCTCCCTGTTCCTTCCCCAGGTGTTCCGCCAAGGGTGTGAAGACGGTCGGGGAACACATTGCTCAACAATTTGGCAAGACTTCGGCCCAACGTTTGGCCACATGGGCGGTTCCAACAGGCAGCGGGCGGCGGTGGTTCGCCGTAGCCGCAGTGGATATGAATAAGTATGAGCATCATCATTTTGTCCAGCATCCCCATGACAATTCTCGGCCCGATCATCACCAGCACCATCTTCCTCCTCCTCCTCCTCCTCCTCCTCCTCCTCCTACTCCTCATCCTCCTTTTCCTCCCCCGTTTCCTCATTCACATCACCATCATTAACATCATCAGCATCGCCATCATCACTATAGTCTTTTCTCATTTCCCCTCCTCCTCCTTCTCCTCTGGCTTGCCCTCGGCACCGTCATCCTTCCCATCTGCATCACGATCAACACGATCATCCTTGTCATCATTATCGTCATCACCATCGTCAGCAGCAGCGTCACCGTCAGCACCGTCAGCATCATCAACATTTGTGCCGTGACTAGCATCCTCATCATCCTTATCAGTATCGTGATCCTGATGCCCTTCCTACCTCTCCTGGAGGTGGACTTAATTTGAAGACATATGGCATCTAACCTGTCTGCCGATTGCCATGCCATGCGATTATAATTTGGATGGCATCGACATGGAATTCGAAGGCACAGCTCTGGACTATATTCATCCAGTTCCATTAGAATTTAAGTCGAGGTCAGTGGAAAAAAAAACTACGCTTTCAGGATCTGGCCCACTGTAATTGTACTTCAATCGAGATCTACTTTGAATTGAATTCGGAAGCTCAGGTTCCAGAAGCTGGTCCATTCTATTCGATACCCAGGGCCGCTCATTTCAATTTGGTCAAAATGCTTTGAGTCGATGCTTCAGCCCATCAACATTAAACTCCAACTGAGCCCCCCAGTACAATTCAGACACAGGTTCTGGAACTGGGATCTGCTTTGGTTCATTATCGTTGAAGTCCGTTGGGAATTTACTTGAGCTTGAAGTTTCAAACAGATCTGGCCTTGGTGTCTGGTCTTAATTCATTGCGTTGGATTAGTTTCGACCCAAACTTCACACGACGTCAAAAGGAGACTCCGATCTGTAATCTCTTGGCATCGCTTGGACGTGTGTATTTTTTCTCGGCGAGAAACCACGAGGACCATCCTGGACCATCGAGGAAAACCAACACGCACGAAACCGAAACATGCACGGGGAATGGACGTCCGATCGACGGCAAGATCTGGTCCACTGTTATTGAAGTCAGTTGAAGCCCACGTGTAAATCAAAGTATTCGTTTTTGGCTTAGGATCTGATTCGCCCGAGTTGACTTGTTATTGCAACATAATTTTCATTCGAATGAAAGATCGGATCTGGGATCTGGTATCCGGACGAATTCGATTGGAATCAAGGTCCTTACGAAGCTTCCTAAGGCCCCCTAGGAGGCGCCTAGGAGGCGCCTTTAAGGCAGACGGCGTCGTAGGAGGTGCCTAGAAGGCGTGTGACGTGCTTGGATGCTCGAGTGAGCCTCGTTGGGATCTCTTCCGTTACGGTTTTCTTACCCGTTGGGATCTCACCCAGTCAGTTGGGATCTGACCCATCCCGGCGAGATCTCACCCGCTACGGTTGGTCCAAAACCAGCTCCAGGTGGTCCACAACCCGCTCCATTGGGGGTTCCACAACTGCTCCGGATGGTCCTCACACAACTCGCCGTCGCAAGGTCCACACAGCTCAAAGGGCTCCACAAGCCGCGCCTGACAGTTCCACAATCCTGGCGGGGGTCCGCAACTCGCAGATTCCACAATCCAAGTGGGGGTTGTACAGTCTGTCTTTGGGGGTCACTTGGATCACTTGGCCCCCTTGGATCCCTTGGGCCACTTGGGCCACTTGGCCCGATTGTGCCACTTGTTGTTGAACCCATGGGGGTGGACTGTGGTACTCTCCTGGCGTTTGTGCTGTCTGCGGAGGCGGTGTGCAACAATTTCGACGAGGTTGTGCGATTGGCGGGGGCGAGTTGTGGAACCACTGGTCGGTTGTGGACCCCCTGGTCGGTTGTGGAATCCGTGGCGGCGGATTGTGGTACCCCTGGTTGGGATCGTAGGACTAGCGGGTGCGGGTTATGGAACCGTGGCTCCAGTGGCACAAGCCATTTCCGCGGGGTCCACAACCTACCGCTCCAGATTCCACTGCAATCGGCTCTAGTGGCCCAAGCGATCCAAGCGGCCTAAGTGCTCCGAACTGCCAAGGTTGTTGAAGTCGCCCAATCGATTGTCGATCCAATCTGCATTTCGCAGGGCAAGTGTCCAAGGTGCCCCCAAAGTGGTCGAAGCGGCAATGCGACGAAGCAGACCAAGCGGCCCAAGTTGCCCAAGTAGCCCACTTGGTCCCGTCGATCGTTGATCCAAGCCGCCTCTTTAGGCGGCAAGTGACCCGAATGGTCCAGGTGTCTCCCAGGTGGCCCCACGTAAGCACGAGTGGCCGATGAACTGGTACGCTTATTTGCCGTAGCTTGCGGACACGCTGAGGACCTGTTACCACTACGTGTAGAACTCTAGGGTCTGATGTTGGCGCCTCCACAATGCAATGCTACTTGGTGTCTTCGTTTGATGATCGGAATGTCATCGAAACGTTTAATAGCCTCTTGCTTACATTGGTATTGTTGCCTTTGCGTGTGCGCTTGCAAGTTTTGGGCTGGGTGGGACATCGGGATGACGAAGTTTACGATTATTGTAATGGTGAGGATGAGGGTGATGATGTCGATGGGGAAGGGGAGGAGCTAGCCGTATGGGGGGCTGATATTCGTGTGCGTCTTAAGCGCCTTCGAACAAGTAGGTCCGATGCGCGCAGGGGCGGGTGGGGTCTCTCAAGTTCCTCTTGCGCAGATCATTGTCGTGGCTGACGGCCGTGGCTGGCGGCGTGGCCCAGCTCCGATCCAGGAACTCCGCATGGACCTTCGGAGACGTATTTGGGGGCCGATTTTGTTATTCTGTCGTCTTCCTCTCCTTTCTCCCACTCCTCCTCCTCCTCTTCCTCCTCCTCTTCCTCCTCCTGCTCCTTGTTGCTCTTCTGAGCTCCCGCCCAGGACGAGTGCGCGGCGGACGCAGCCGCTGCGAGCGCCGTGGAGGAGGCCGGCACGAGTGCGTCTTCGAAGGGCCCGGAGTCCTGGGGCTCAAGCAGCGCAAGTGACCACGGGGTCGTTGGTAGGTCGTCGTCGGCGCCGCCCTCGTCGTCGTCGTCGTCGTCGCCGCCGTCGTCGTCGTCGTCGTCGTCGTCGTCGTCGTCGTCGTCGTCGTCGTCGTCGTCGTCGTCGTCGTCGTCGTCGTCGGCGCTGGCCGCTTGGAGGAGGATCAGATGCTGATGCCTCTGCCCTTGCCTCGTCTTCCCCTTATTGGGCCTCCTGGGAAGCCCTCGTCGCCACCGCTGGATTCACGTCGGAATGCTGGTCAGAACGCGCCCTGGGAAAGGCCTTATTGCGAAGGCCTTACGGCCGGTGCCGCCGACCTTAAAGAGAGACGACGACGACGACGACGACCACGACGACGACGACGACGACGACGACGACGACGACGACGACGACGGCGACGACGACGACGATCACGAAGACGACGACGACGACGACGACGACGACGACGACGACGACGACGACGACGACGACGGCGGCGGCGACGACGACGACAACAGCGGCGGCGGCAACGACGACGACGCTGACGTGGGCCAGAGTCCTCAGGGATGGTTCTTGGGGTCTCTTCCGAAGTCTATCGGGGGCCTCTGGGGAGGAATTTGTGGGCCTCTTGGGAGCCTCTTGGGGGCCTCTTGGGGGCCTCTTGGGAGCCTCGTAGGAGCCTCTTCGGGCTTCTGGGGACCTCTTGTGGGCCTCTTGGGGCCTCTGGGGAACCTCTAGGGGCCTCCTGAGAGCCTCTCTGGGCCGAGGACTGGAAATGTCCGTTCGGGTCCCCCGTCTGGGCACTCTCTTGGAGTCGTCTTGGGGGCATCTGGGCCGTCTTGGAGGCTTTTTAGCCTGTCTTGGGGTCCTCTTGGGCTGTTTTTGGGCCTTCTTGGAGGCCTCTTGGGCCGTCTTGGGGAGATCTTGGGGGGCTCTGGCGCCGTTTTGTAGCGGCGGGAAGTGGAAAAGGCGAGAACGCCCAAATCTTAAAACAACCAGCAACCAAATCTATGAATTTGGCCTCTTGGGGCCCTCTCGGGAGTGCTCTAAGATGCGTCTTGTGGCGTCCTGGAGGCCTCCTGTGCAGTCTGGAAGGCGCGCAAGCGTTTTGGACCGATCGTTTGGCGGTTGGGGACCCTCTTGGACCGTCTCAGCGACCTGGGTCACTCTTGGCCTCTGCCCTCGAGGATGGCCGAACGCTCCCCCACCACGCTTGCATCGCCCATTCCTCTTCGGTGTGGCCGTGTCTCCCCTTCTCCATGATTCGGGCTCCCAGGGCCCAGACTGCCAGGAGTGTCAGAGGCTGAGGCAGAGTCTTGGCATCGTTCGGGCGTGGGCTTTTTTCTCGGCGAGAGCCATCGAGGAAGATCTCGGATCATCCTGCGGAAACCAAGCGCACGACCTCGAGACATGCACGGGGAAGGGACGTCCGAGCGATGGCGAGGAGCAAGTGGGCCACCGTGTGCCGTGCGACAGGCGTGGGGGCCTCTCGCAAACTCGCGCCCTCCGAGGAGCTCGGCGACAAGGCAGCCGCGGCGGCGCCCGCGGATGCGAGCGAGGAGGCGAAGAAGAAGGCCCGGGGGCTCCAAAGCCGCGTGGCCGCATCGACGAGTGGCACGAGGGAGGGCCCTCGACCCTTTGACTAACATTCGGCACTATCGGGCGACTTCTCCTCGAGCGCGCGTCGCGCTTCTGCGTTTCTGCCCGCACGCCTCGCTCTGGTGCGGTGGGATCCCGAGCACGTCAGCAAGGCTTTGTAGTCTCTGAGCGCAGAGCCGTGCAATTCCTCGCGAAACAGGTGAAGAGTCCGACCCCGTCCTTCGTACCCCCATGCGGAACCACCTGCTGGGGTCGGAAGCACGACGTCCATGACAGTGGGCTCGCCCACAGTGGGGCCGCCTGGCCTGAGCCCCCCTCCCCTGTCCTGCAGTGTTCGTGGGCGTACAGATTAGGGGATGCGGCGCTCATTAAACGCGTTAATTTCCATGCTCGTTGACTCTCCCTGCATTTCGATGCCGTTCATGCTTCTCGGGCTTCTGCGCTTGCATGGCCTACCCGGCGTTTCTACGTGCACCCGCGGCCTCGCGTTTGTTTTGCATGCGTGCGTGCGTGCGTGCGTGCGTGCGTGCGTGCGTGCGTGCGTGCGTGCGTGCGTGTGTGTGTGTGTGTGTGTGTGTGTGTGTGTGTGTGAGTGTGTAGGTGTGCCCTTTGGCCCACCTTTCCCATGAGGCGGCTGGCCCCCCCTCGGCACGGCACACGTCAGTTCCCGTCTGTGTTGTAAGTGGCACAGGTTCTGGGGCCGCTGCTGACCGTCCCATTGCCAAGCCCAGTCCGCGCAGCCTGGCGCGTCCTTCGCCTCCTCAGCGGAGCGCATGCTCCCCCGACCCTTCGTGGAGTCGCCGGCCGTCACACTGTTCTGTCGGCCTCGCCGGCTTGACCTGGGCTCTCACCCCCCTGGTGACGCCTCCTCGACCTTGGCCTGGCGGTCTCCCTAGGTGCGCCGTTCTCCTTGTCTGCGCTGCAGCTGGCCCAGCTTCCGGGGACGCTGCCAGCCGCTTCACTGCCGAGCCCAGCCCCTGCATCGGGCGCGTGTCTTTCCCACGCTCAGCGGGGCGCACATCCCCCAGGCCCCTCGCGGACCCGGCGGCCGTGCTGCTGCTGCACGGGGGGCCTCCTCGGGACGCCCTGAGCTCTGCCCCCCCCCCTCCCCGCCCCCCCGCGGGAGCTGCCTCCTCGGCCGTGGCCAGGCGGCCTCCGCAGCCTCTCGGCTGTCCTTGTGGGCCGCCTGGTGGGCCGCCCTCGCCTCCTCCTTCCCGCCGTCGCCCGTCGCTCCTCTGCCCTCGAGATCTCTGCTCGGGGCTTCGTCCTCCCGCTCCTGGTCGTGGGGCCGCTGCAGTCGCTCCCCCCGCCTCCCTCCCCCGGCTTCGGGTTCGCCCCGGTCCCCGGGTGTCGTTCCCTCCCTCGCTGAGCAGCCTGGAACACCCCCCCATCCCTAGGATTGGCATCGCCTCATCTCGATGCCGATCTCAAGGGTTCCCTCAGCTTTCGAGGGCGCATCCCTAAGACTGTCATCGCCTTTAGCTTGCCAGTCTCAGGGGTCGAGATAAGTTTGAGGCTGGTGACTTGCCTCTTGCTGCCGCTGCCCTCCCGAGTCGTCCACCTCGGCGCTGGCGCTGCTGTCTTTGGCGTGACTTTTTTTGTCCTGGCCTGTCCCCCGCCGCCGGGCACGGCTGCATCCGCTGGGTCTCTGCTCGCCGCAGGGCAATCGCGGCCACGCGCAGAGAGGGGCATGGGGGAGGGGGAGGGCTTCTAAGACACACCCCTGCTTCTTAGAGGTCGCGGGCCTTGTCTGTAGATGTAGGGCGGGCGCATTCTGAGAAGCAGCCTCCTTTAAGAAGCCTCCCATCTACCTGCTACCCCCTTGTGCGCGCCGCCAATAATCAGTATCGTTTAACCGATCCCTGTCCCCATCCCCATCCCGAACCCCACCATTTTACCGCGCCAGTTGAGGATCTACCCCTCGAAACTCGAAGGGAATATCCTATATAAATACATATATGATATGGGGCTCTGGGCCCACGCCCCCCCCCAGATGGGATGGGTCTCAGGGTCCCTCGCCCCCCCCCCTCCCAGATGGGATGGGGGAGACGACGACGACGACGACCACGACGACGACGACGACGACGACGACGACGACGACGACGTCCTCATGGGGGGGGAGTGCCGGACCCCATGCCCACCACCGCCCGCCCGCTGGGGACGACCTCACCACGCCCCGCCCACAGGAGGGGGCGAGGGTGCCATCGCGCCGGGGGGGGGGGGGGGCCGATTGCATCGGCGTGAGGGGGGGGCGGGCCCTCACCCTGGATCATGTATCCCCATCTAGGGGGGTGATTCGGCCAGTGGGGCCCAGGCCACGCCTGTGGGGATAGGGGGTCGGTCAAACGATGCTCACCTCAGCGGGTGGCCTGCGACGTTGCACGCAACGGTCCTCTCGTGTCCCACGCGTGTCTCCCCACGTGCACGACTTCGGTTCCTTTCTTCATCCGTTCGCCGCTTGCCTCTTGGCCCCCATTGGCACGCGTTCGGTGGTAATCAGCCTAGTCAGTTGTTCGATCATGGACCCTGTGTTACTTTGGGCATCCATCCAGCTTTCACGCTGAAGACCGCCGGAAAGCGCCCAAGACCGCTGGAAACAGCCGAAGACCGTCAGAAGACCGCCAGAAGACGGCCGAAGACCGCCGAAGACCGTCCAGGAAGGATGGGTAACGAGGGGTCGATGGTCGAACACGTGAAGCTTAGCGCATTCCGCTGATGCGCTCGTTGCGTTGGACCAGCCCGCCGCGAAACAAACTGTATGTGTGTGCGAGAGAGAGAGAGAGAGAGAGAGAGAGAGAGAGAAAGAGAGAGTGTGTGCGTGCAGGCCAGCTCGCGTGCTGGTCCGCCCTGCCCTCGCGCCCCCGCTGCCCCCCTTCTTCGGCGCTGTGGCAGTTTTTGCCTCGCCGTCGCGCTGCCAGCCGCGCCCCTGCGAGATGTGAGGACAGCGACGTCGAAGCACACGCGTTTCGGCTCGCCACCCGAGAACTGTTCAAGGGGGCACGCAGACCGCTGTGGCTGCGCGCGGGCCTGGGGCGCGGCGAGAACCCCGAGCCACGTGCTGCTACAGGCGTGTGCGTGAAGTTGGGTAGGCAAGGCTGGGCCGCACCCCCCGCGCCTGCCCTCGGCAGCTTCCAGCTCGGCCGGCCTCTGCGGCTCTCGCTGCTCTGCCCCAGCTCGCTGGACGCGGCGCCAGTCGCCTCTGCCCGCCCCTCGGCGCTTCGCGCCTGCCTCCAGCCGCCCCGATCCTCCTCGCCCCTCGTGTCGGGCGGCCGCCCTCGGCTCAAGGCGCCTTCTCCTGGGAGCGCGGACGGTCTTTCCTGGCTCTGCGCGTGCATGCTCTCACTTGTGGGTCCTCACCCGTGCAGCAGTGTCTGCTAGCCTGGGGCGCCACGTCTTCGGCCCGCTGCGTCGGCCAGTGCTGGAGTCCCAGCCACTCTCCCGAGGATTCTCCGAGAAAGTCGCGTGGGGCTCCCCAGAAGCGCCAAGAGGCGCTCGAGAGAGCCCGAGAATCTTGGGAGCCCGCGACCTGGGCCCCCAGACCACGTGCAATTCTTCTTGCAGAGAATGCTCAAGGGCTTGAGGCCACTTTATGTCATGCCTCTTGGCACGGTGGTGGATTACTGATTCTGCTGCTGCCCGTGATATAACGACTGAGGACATACCGTGCAATGATTGCAACCTTCACCATGTGCTACTGCCGTTTTTAATAGCACCCCGCTGCAACTGCCTTTGCCAGTGCTGCTCAAGCTTTTTTGCAGAAAAGCGCGATAATTGACAGTTGCAGTGTTATTGGTATTGTGAATGAAGTCAACCCCGAGGACGGGGAGGGCGAGGAGAAGAAGGGCGCGGAGCCTCCAGAGCCGAGCGAGGAGATCTTGAGCAACCCGTGCCGTGTCCTGAAGGCCCAGATGCAGCACATCTCCTTCCCGAAGGACCCGGCCACGAGAGGAGAGGGGGGGCGCAGCTCCTCGAGGGGGGAGGCCGAGGAGGGCGGGGGGAGAGGGGCTGACTAGGGCGCGAAGCCCGAGTCTGTTGGGGGGGGGCCCTTCAGAAGCGCTCGTCGCCACCCTCACGCCGGCGTGCCCTGCGGCCTCGTGCCCTTTTGTGGTTTCCTCGCCTCGCTGTGCCTTCCCTGCGGCCTTGTGCCTTGGCCTCCATCTAACGTCATCCATCCGCTCCTCGGTCTCACGCTGCGGTTGGGGTGATAGGCAGTGCTCGAGGTTGGAAGCATCATGCTGGTGGTTCGTGCCGTGAAGCAAATCGCAAGGAGACGCCAGTGCGGCCCGAGTGCCGCCGCACTTCTCCAGCGGGCCCTGGCGCAGGCATCGGTGGTTCAAAGATGGAGTCCTGGGGGATTGGGTCCTAAGGATCGGAAGGGATCCAAGGGTGGATTTACATTGCTTGAGGCACCTCGTTCTCAGGACCCCATCCCTTAGGACCCCATCTTTGAACCACCGAGGGCATTGCTCGCAGGCAGGGGGTGCTCTCGGGCAGGGCCCGGCACGCGCGCGCGAGCTGGGGCGCGTCTGCGCACCTGTCGTGGGCCTGGCCAGGTCCAGTGGAGGGAGGGCACTCGAAGGAACACAACACGGCCCAATACATCCGAGAGGACCACAAGACGGCCCAAGATGGGCCCCAAGCGGCCCCAGCGCGGCCCCAAGAGGGCTCTAAGGCAGCCCAAGGGGTCCCCGAAACGGTACCAAGGTTTCCAAGATGGCCCATGGGGCTGGGCTCAGGCAAAGATGCGGGGGGGGTGATCATAGGAAGGGACGCATCGACCCCCAATCGCCCACTGATCGCCGATAGCGGCTCGATAGCCCCAGCTTGCCCAGGAACGTGCGGATTCGCTCTCGGGGGCCTATCGCTGATCTATCGGCAACGTTTCGCCGATCCAGGTCGGTGTGCCCTCCCCTGTGCCTATCCCACCCCCTATCGTTGCACCTCAGCTTGGGCCAGGGCGCTAGCAGGGCTCGAGGCAGCCTCTGGACAACGAGCGGACGTGTGCTGGGCACGTCTGCGCTGGGGGCGGAGCGGAGACAGCCACTCCCGGCTGCGATGCAGCATCCAAGGGAGGTTGCTCTGGAGCTCTATTGTTGCCCGTGTTGTGGCCTCCGCTGGTTTGGCGTCGCATTTCTTTGTTTTTTTGGGGGGGGGGGGGCTGCTGGCGTGTGAGGACGGCGCTGCGGGCTCTGGCACCGCCCCGAAGCCTTTCGGGTCGAGCGCCCCAGGACAGACTCCTTCCCATCCGCCTGTGGGTCTCCCTCGGCGACGGGGGCATGGGAACCGCCAGGTGTCTTGCGGGCTTCTTCCCACAAGAGTGGGGAGGTAATTCCTCCCCCGATGGCCCCAGGCAGCCACGACAGAGCCCTGCGGCCCCTTGTGTGACCCTCAAGCATCAGGAGGGGAAGGATCACACCGACACAATTCACCGTCGACTCCCGGGAAAATAGGGGCACCCATGGGATGTGGGGGGGTGATGAAAACCCAGAAAATAGGGGAACATATGGGGAATCCTGGGTTTTGTGTGTATTTTTTGGTGTGTCCCTGGGCCCCTTTCAAGTATCCTCTGTTGTCCCTGGCTGCAAGCTGACAGCCGCCGGTGCCCAACGGCCACGCCCGGCAGGGCTGGACCTAAACTGTGTTTTGGCGATTTCGTGGGCCGTTTTCGTTTCGACTTCGTTTTGTGGTAGAGGTGGATTGAAAACAAAACGAGGGAAAACGAACACAAAACGAAAGCGAAAAACACCGTTTAGGTTCGGCCACGCCCGGGGCGGTTTTGCCCCCCGTGGGCACAGAGCGCCTCCTGGGCGTCAAGACCAGATCGACGAGCGCACGCGACGTGGGGGCGGAAGGCCAGCGCCCGCTCCGCACCGCGGGGGCCTGGAGGCCACCTGAGGCGCCGGAGCAGGAGGAGGAGGAGGAGGAGGAGGAGGAGGAGGAGGAGGAGGAGGAGGAGGGAGGACAGGAGAAGGAGGAGGAGGAGGAGGAGGAGGAGGAGGAGGAGGAGGAGGAGGAGGAGGAGGAGGAGGAGGAAGAGGAGGAGGAGGACGACTCGAGGAGAGAGGAGGGAGGAGGAGGAGGAGGAGGAGGAGGAGGAGGAGGAGGAGGAGGAGGGAGGAGGAGGAGGAGGAGGAGGAGGAGGAGGAGGAGGAGGAGGAGGGGAGGAGGAGGAGGAGGAGGAGGAGGAGGAGGAGGAGGAGGAGGAGGAGGAGGAGGAGGAGGAGGAGGAGGAGGAGGAGGAGGAGGAGGAGGAGGAGGAGGAGGAGGAGGAGGAGGAGGAGGGGAGGATGAGGAGGAGGAGGAGGAGGAGGAGGAGGAGGAGGAGGAGGAGGAGGAGTTGGAGGGGGCCGCAAGGTCGAGGGGTGTGACCGCCGGGCCCTCAGATGAGGATCCCAACCGTGCAGCAGGCATGTGGGGCGTTCCAGAAAGGGCCTCGCCTTCGAGGATCGGATGAGTTGCCCCCTCTTCCTCGGCGGAGTGCCGGCGGAATGCGGCGGAAGTGAAACGAAGCCGCCTCGACCAGCAGACAGGCCGGCGGAAGCTGGCGGAAGTAAAAGGTGCGCCCCCAAGAGATGACAACCTTCCGGAATCCACCATACGAAGGAGGAAGGAACAGACGTAGACACACACAGAAGCGCCGATGTTCTTGAACATCGTGGAAATACTGGGAGATGGGGGGACGACGAGAATCCAGAAGATGTGGCAACAGACTGGGAATCCTAGAACTTTGTCAATTTGTTTGTGCCTCCCCCATCGCGATGGGGCGGGGGCGCAGGGAGGCGTACGTTGTGGAGTCGGTCGTCCCAGAGCGTGAGGTGTGGCAACGTGTGGTCCTGCCGGCCAGCTGCATTCTACCCGTTGTTGTGGCATCGAGCTCCAGACTTATTCCATCCCCCAGCTTCCAACAGTATGGTATGGGGCCTCTGTCCCCATACTGGGCCCTGACCGAGTTACCCGCCTGCACGGTTTTGAGTCGTCCCATCCAGCCGTTGAATGGACTCGGGAGTGCAGGAGGGCTACGGCTACGAAGGAGGCTCAAACTAAATGACTTTGGCCCATCGGCGATAGCGACTAGTCAATTCTTCACGCTTCGCGTATCCCCACCAGCCCATCTCAAAACAGCAGCTCTAGCGAAGCATGCCGACAGTCGTGTTTTTCAGGCGTGTTTCCGCCTGCCCCCGCATATCTCCCCTGTTCCTCCTTCCTCCCGCCTCCTTGTACATCCTCCTTGTGGTGGGAGCGGGAGAAGGACGAGGCGGAGGAGGAGGGAGAGAAAGCGCTCCTCGTGGTTTGAGTCGTTCGGGCTTCTCGTCCTGGTGTGAGTCGTTCGGGCCCTTCTTCCTGGTGTGAGTCGTTCGGGCTCTTCGTGGTGTGAGTCGTTCGGGCTCTTCGTCCTGGTGTGAGTCGTTCGGGCTTCTCGTGGTGTGAGTTGTTCGGGCCCCTCGTCCTGGTGTGAGTCGTTCGGGCCCCTCCTCCTGCCCGTCCAGAAACGACGCCCAGGCGAGTAGAGGGTCGTCCTGATGGGCTTTTCGGCGTCTTGGGTGCCTCGGGGGGGCCTCTTTGGGCCGTTTGGGATCCTCTTGGGGGCCTCCTGGGGGCCTCTTGGGGCCATCTTGGGGCCTCTTGGTGCCTCCTGGGTGCTTCTTGGGGCCATCTTGAAGGAAATCGATCAAAGAAGAGGGGAGCTTTAATTAGCGCTGCCCCCTCAGAAGGCCAAAATGGGGCCAACACCTTAGTAAAATCAATGATTTTGGCTTGAAAGAAGAGGGGAGCTTTAATTGGCGCTGCCCCCTCAGAAGGCCAAAGTGGGGCCAAAACCGTAGTAAAATCAATGATTTTGGCTTCAAAGAAGAGGGGAACACTTTTCTGTCACCCCCCGTCGGGGCCAGAATCCTCGTGAGGGGTGTCGTTTTTTTAGCCCTCCCAGGAGTCGAAAAAGACCCCTCCAACGACCCGCGGGGCGCCCTCTCCAGGTCCAGGGGGAGGGGGTAGGGGGAGGGGTAAACCCCTCCCCGAAGGGGAAGAAGGGGGGGTGAGAACAGAGAGAGCTCTCTAAACCACTCGCGCCCAAAGGGCTGGTGGGACTAGTAGTAGTCGTAGTAGTAGTTGTAGTAGAAGTAGTAGGATATGATGTAGTGGTGCTAGTACTAGTAGTAGTAGTAGTAGTAGTAGTAGTAGTAGTAGTAGTAGTAGTAGTAGTAGCAGTAGTAGCAGTAGTAGTAGTAGTAGTAGTAGTAGTAGTAGTAGTAGTCTTCATCGTCGTCGTCGTCGTCGTCGTAGTAGTAGTAGTAGTCGTAGTAGTAGTAGTAGTAGTAGTAGTAGTAGTAGTAGTAGTAGTAGTAGTAGTAGTAGTCGTAAGTAGTAGTAGTAGTAGTAGTAGTAGTAGTAGTAGTAGTAGTAGTCGTAGTCCGTAGTAGTAGTAGTAGTCGTCGTCGTCGTAGTCGTAGTAGTAGTAGTAGTAGTACGTAGTAGTAGTAGTAGTAGTAGTAGTAGTAGTAGTAGTAGTAGTAGTAGTAGTAGTAGTAGTCGTAGTAGTAGAGTAGTAGTGAGTAGTAGTAGTAGTAGTAGTGCAGTAGTAGTATAGTAAGAGTAGTAGTAGTAGTAGTAGTAGTAGTAGTAGTTGTAGTAGTAGTAGTAGTAGGTTAGTATTAGTAGTAGTAGTAGTAGTAGTAGTAGTAGTAGTAGTGGTGTAGTAGTAGTAGTCGTAGGCAGAGCAGCCAGCAGCAGTAGGTAGTATGTAGTAGTAGTAGTAGTGGTAGTAGGTAGTAGATAGTAGTAGTAGTAGTAGTAGTAGTAGTAGTAGTAGTAGTAGTAGTAGTAGTAGTAGTAGTAGTAGTAGTAGTAGTAGTAGTAGTAGTAGTAGTAGTAGTCGTAGTAGTAGTAGTAGTAGTAGTAGTAGTAGTAGTAGTAGTAGTAGTAGTAGTAGTAGTAGTAGTAGTAGTAGTAGTAGTAGTAGTAGTAGTAGTAGTAGTAGTAGTAGTAGTAGTAGTAGTAGTAGTAGTAGTAGTAGTAGTAGTAGTAGTAGTAGTAGTAGTAGTCGTAGTAGTAGTAGTAGTAGTAGTAGTAGTAGTAGTCGTAGTAGTAGTAGTAGTAGTAGTAGTAGTAGTAGTAGTAGTAGTAGTAGTAGTAGTCGTAGGAGTAGAAGTAGTAGTAGATGTCTTTTGGGAGCCTCTTGGAGGCCTCTTGAGGCGTCTTCGGCGCCTCTTGGCGGCCCCTGGGGCTTCTAGGAGCGTGCTGGGTGCCTTGGGAGAGCGTCTTCGGGCCTCTTGGGAGCCTCTTGGATGCCGTTTGGGGCGTCTTGGGCGCCTCTTGGCAGCTCCAGGGCCTTCCAGGAGCGTCGTGGGTGCCTCGGGGGAGCCTCTGGGGTCCTCTGGGGGGCCTCTTGGGGGCATCTTGGGGGCCTCTTGGAGGCCTCTTGGGGCCTCGTGGGGCTCCCTGTGAGGGGTCTGGGAGGAATCTTGGGGCCATCTGTCGGGGGATCGATCACAGATGAGGAGAGCATTTTTTCTCCCCCCCCCCGTCGGGGCCAGAATCCTCGTGAGGGGTGTCGTTTTTTAGCCCTCCCAGGATTCGAAAAAGACGCCTCTGACCACCCGCGCGGCGCCCTCTCCAGGCCCAGGGGGAGGGGGTAGGGGGAGGGGTAAACCCCTCCCCGAAGGGGAAGAAGGGGGGTTGAGAACAGAGAGAGCTCTCTAAACCACTCACGCCCAAAGGGCTGGTGGGATTACCTCGGCCGCGTTGCGGCCAGGTGGATCAACCATCCACCGTGTCCACTTCCAACATCGATCATATGAACGGCTTTCTAAGGTTACCCTCCCATCCTTCCCTTTCGGCCCATCCTTGGCCACCTTCGCTGGCCGCGCCCCGCTGTAAATGATGGTCCTGTCGGCCAGCTGCGCTATATATACTGTTGCTGCAAGGAGCTCCATATTGGCTCTTTGGATGTTTGCAGTCAACACGGATAGTAAGGATGAGTGGCTTTCCAAGGTCACCTTTCCATCCTTCCTCTTCGGCCCATCCTTGGCCACCTTCGCTGGTCGCGCCTCGCTGTAAATGGTGGTGGTGTCGGCCAGCCGCGCTTTACACACTGTTGCTGCAAAGGAGCTCCAGATTGGCTCTTTGGGTGTCTACGGTCGGGATCTTTTGGCGATTGAGTCCCACCAGGCTTCGGCGCGCCACGCTATGCACGTCGCGGTCCCACGGCGTCGACATCCCGAGCTTCTCCCGAGCCTCCCGCCCCGCGGAGCGGAGCGACACTCTATCCGCTCGCATGGCACAGCGTGTCGCTGGGACCGCCGCGGCGACACGCTGAGCAAGTTGTCCCGACCGTACCAATCAGGGGAGAAGAAGCAAGAAGGGAGGGAAGGGGAGGGGGAAAGGGGGTGAGCGAGGAATGCAGTTGGAGGATGATGCTGCTTATGACGACGGCGGACCGCCCCCCCACCCCCCTTCCTCCTACGAGCTCACGTGCCCGCTCCGCGGAGGGCGCCCACTCTCCCAGAGAGGGGTATTCTCGCATCTCCCCAGCATCAGACATCATCGCCCCAGCATCTGACATCATGATTTTATTCGTTGCGTGGGCCCCCGTCTTGTTCGACTCCATCCCTGGAACGAGATGTTCATCCCGGTCCGTTTCTGGACCCATGGAGGCCGAAATCGAGGACAGAACGCGCGTCGTATTTTTTCCGACGCATGGCTGTCTAGCCAGCCCCCCACCCCGCCCCGCGAAGGAGATCGACTCGCAACCGGTCCGATACGCGCCGCTGCTTGGCAGCAGGCGCGTGGGCTTCCTCCTGCTGAGCGACAGCAAGCCCGACGAGCCCGAGGACTTGTTCCTCGAGGAGGACTTCCGACAAGGGCCGCGGAAGGGGGTCGGTCGGTCGGTCGGACATGCTCGTCGTCGTCGTCGGCGGTGGGGCAGGACGAGGACGGCTAGGAGGAGGGCGAAGACGGCTATCAGGATGATGATGATGAGGATGATGAGGATGAGGATGATGATGATGACGATGATGATGATGGTGATGATGATGATGGTGATGGTGATGATGATGATGATGATGATGATGATGCTGATGCTGATGCTGATGCTGATGATGATGATGATGATGATGAGTGCTGATGAGTGCTGATGATGATGATGCTGATGATGATGATGATGATTGTGATGATGATGATGATGATGATGATGATGATGATGATGATGATGATGATGATGATGATGCTGCTGCTGCTGCTGATGATGATGATGATGATGATGATGATGATGATGATGATGATGATGATGATGATGATGATGATGATGATGATGATGATGATGATGATGATGATGATGATGATGATGATGATGATGATGATGATGATGATGATGATGATGATGATGATGATGATGATGATGATGATGATGATGATGATGATGATGATGATGATGATGATGATGATGATGATGATGATGATGATGATGATGATGATGATGATGATGATGATGATGATGATGATGATGATGAGGATGTTATGATGATGATGAGGAGGAGAAGAAGAGGAGGAGGAGCTTGAGGAGGCTAAAAGGAGGAGAATGAGGAGGACGAGGAGGAGGTTCTGGGTAGTAGGACGAGGAAGTCGTCGTCTTTCCTCCTTCTCCCAGTCGGGGTGCCGGAGCACAGGCCTCCTGGGCGGCCAGCAGCAGGCGGGGAGGGCAGGGGCGGCGCTGGGTTCGGAGGTCGCTCGGCGCCGAGCGGGCTCTGCGCGGCGGCGGGGGCCCGGGCCCACGCCGCCGAGGCGGGAGCCCGCCCGCGTGCGGGAGGGCAGGCGAGGACGGGCTCTCGAGGGTCGGGCCGATCGCGGAGGAGCTCGGAGGAGGGCGAGCCGAGACGGCGGCAGTTTCGAGTCGGGCCTGTCCCTCTACCGGAGGAGTGTTTAAACATAGTACAGCAATGGTCTGGGGGCGACTTGTGGGCCATTTTTTGGTATTTTAAGGCATTTTTGGGCCATCTGTAGTTTTTCGTCCAAAGTCGGCCTGTAGGGGGACAGGCCCGACTTAAGGGTAGCTGGTCTTCGGGGGGGGCCCTCATTGTCGGAACAGCCAGACGCGGCTTGGGAAACTGGTGCGTTTGGGTCCTAGGAGGGGTCCGGGGACCCCTTTTGAGTTGCCGTCGTCTCAACTCGCTCTGCTCCGGTGGCCGAGGATGATCCAGGATCGAGGGTCGAAGGTCAACGATGCTTGGTGGGTTCGGTATTCTTTTCGTTGCGGGGGGGGGTGGGGGGGCGAGCGTCGCGGGGAGATGGGAGCCCATGAGAAGGCGAAAACCCACCCCCACCCCGAGTCCCGATTCCCATCCCTGAGCCGGCGACTCGAGGCGTCGGGACGGGGGGTGGGGGCGTTCTCTCCTTTCTTGGACCTCGAAGAACCACCCCCACCCCCAGTCCCGACCCCCCGGATCGCGGGTTCGGGGTATGGGGTCGGGACTGCGGGTGGGGGCTGGCGTTCGCCTTCTCAGCCCAGGCCGACGTTGGGCGGCAAGCCGCCCCAGGGCCGAGGCGCCTGGGAGGTCCTGGCCGTCAGCGCTGCCTGCATCACTGGGTCGCCCGCAGGGGCGTGAAGACAGCGCGCTATCGCGCCCCGCCGCCGCCCGGTCGGGAGAGATGTCGTCGTCGCCGTCGTCGCCGTCGTCGTCGTCGTCGCCGTCGTCGCCGCGCCGTCGTCGTCGTCGTCGCCGTCGTCGTCGTCGTCGTCGTCGTCGCCGCCGCCGTCGTCGTCGTCGGCGTCGTCGTCGTCGTCTCGTCGCCGTCGCCGTCTTTCTCTCCGCTCCCTTGGGGTCAGGGGCAGCGTCCGGAGGCCAACGGGATGCGCCGAGCCGCCCCCGCTCGAGGCGCCCAGGAGATCGCGTCCTGCCGCCTGCGGACTTGCGTGCACCGCAGGGGCGCGAAGATGGCGCGCTCCGCGCCTCGACCTCTGGGCTGCCCTTCGCTGGGGGCCCGGGGGGCCTGCTGGGGGGAGGCAGCGACCCCCCAAGCGCCCCTGCATCGCCGGCAGGGGCCCCGTGGCCCACCCCGCCCAGGGCCGTGCGGTTTGGCTGACGTGGCCCTCCTGCCGATCCAGCGGCGATGGCATCGCCGACTCCAGGTCGAGGCTTCCCCCTCTGGGCCGGCCCCTCCTGGCGTTGCCCTCGAGGGGGAGGGCGCGAGGGCGCCCTCCTCGCCGCGCGCAGCGCAGCGCGCAGCGCCCTGCGCACTGGCAGCTGCGTGGTGCTCCCTCCGCGGGCCTGAGGTGGCGCAGCACGGGTTCAGGCCGGCAGGGAGGGCGGGCAGGTTCGAGGCCCTGGGTTCGGCAGGTTTTTTTTGTCCGTTTCGGCCTCCGCGTGCCGTTCTCGGGCCGCGGGGCACTGAACAACGGTTCCGGGGAGGAAAACCAACCAGATGGACCATGGGAGCGTTCCGGGGACCGATTTTGAGCGGATTTGGCTTCATCATCTCTCTTGATGTCTGGGGCCCCAACGGGTTGAACCCCCTGGCCCCCTCCAACTTTCAAGGCGCTCCCTTCGAAAAGCTGCTGCTCTCTTTGGCCTGGGGGTGTCGGGGGGAACGCGTCGCATGCTTCGCGAGCGCTCTTCAGCGGGTGGCCGAGCCTGTGGCCGAAGAAACTCCACGTGGCTGCCAGCCGTGCCACGTGCCACGCGCCACCCCCCCGCGCAGGACAAGGCGGACGCGGCGGAAGAGAAGGAGCCGGACCCCCCCGCGCCGTTCGAGTGGACGGACGCCGACTGACATCCCTCCCTTCTCGCGGCTCCCCACTCCATGCTCGGGCCGGGCGAAAGGGGGGGATTGGGAAATGGGGGGTTACGAAATGTGCTGCGTGCAGCTGGTTTCGGCCCCACCGAGGGGCCCCTTCCTCGATACATAGCCGCCTCAGGCGCCGAGAGGCGCCCGGAGATTCAGCTGCGTGAGCTGATTCTCAAACCCACCCTTTGCTATCCCCCCCTTTCGCCAGGCCCGAGAAGCCCCCCGCTCCATCGGATGGCCCACCTCTGCCGCCCTCCAGCGCTTCTCTGCGCAGAGCTGGATTTCGAGCCAAGATCGTCTCGCGGATGAAAGGGAGCTCGTCCTCTCCTCCCCTCTTCCCACTCCCGCCCGCCGCGCCGACCAATATACGCCCTCTAGTTATTCCATCCCCGCCTGCGTCGGGGGTTGCAGTTTCGGGCGCTGCAGTAGGACGGGGGAAGTATTCTGATCAGTCTGTTGGAGAGCCACGAAAATAGGCAACTTGTCTGCGTGCGTGTGTATTCGTGTAAGCGCTGCTCGCACTTTGTCGCGCTGGGGTTCTCTGGCTGCCCTACGCGCTGATTCCCGAAGACCGGCCCCGATCGTCGCAAGCAGCCGTAGGCGTGCTGGTGACCTACGGACGTTACGCTCCCTTCTGCAACGATGCCCTGTGGTGCCTTGTGGTTGATGGTTGGTGCCCTGTGTATTGGTGACCCCCTTGCGCCCTGTCTGGCCGGCGTCTGACTGTTCTTGACCACCTTGCGTCGGGGGCGGAAAAGAGGGGGGTGATGACTAGGAGGGGGTGGATATCATGGCGGGGAGCATGATATTTCCCCAGATTTCATGGCGCCTCTTCTTATTTCATTACGTCCCTGGGCCCCCCACTGGGCCGCGCACATGCCGCCGGTCATGATTTGCACCCCCCCCTCTTTGACACCCCCCTCTTTGCCGCTCCCGATTGCGCCCTTGGACTTTGAAAGTGTGTTGGTGACCTATGTCGCCGCACAGTTTGCACATCAGGAGTGTCAACGCCTGTTGTGTGAGGTCCACGCTCTGGCATAGTTATACCACAGACGCGGGAACGCCAATGTGCACTCGCGCGTAGGGCACCAACCATAGGGCAACAGTACGCTTGCGTCGGACAGCGACAAGCCAGGCCAAGCATGTAGCACCAAACTATATGACGCCAATTACCACAACCCAGCGCGGCTACGGTCAACCGCGGCGATCCGTTTTTTTTTTCTTTGCAGCATAGGTCATATCCCCTGCGTGCAAGCACCGCTGGGGGAATCTCATGAACTACCTCAGACCAGACCAGGAGGCCAAGCGCCCGAACCTGAGTGCTCGGATGGGTGGATGAGAAGTGGCCTGCATTAGCTTTTGATGGCAGAATGGGATCACTTACTGGTGTCTTCGATTGTTGGTGCGAAAGGAGCCAGCGCATCTCGGGACACTGACAACGGGTTGCTTTATGAGAGTACTCATCCAATTCTGATTGGCTTATCTACCCACCCACGGATGTTTGTGCATATGGGTGCGGCATTGCCTGGATACTAGTCCGCCGCTCACCACTTTACCTTTTAGGGGGCCAAGGGGAGGGATGATGGATGATGATGGGTGGTGATGATGGAGGTGGTGGTGGTGATACTTTGGAGTCTGATAGTGATGACGACGACGATGATGATGATGATGATGGTGGTGATGCTGCTGACGATGACGATGAGGACGATCTTGATGATGACGGCGATGATGATGATGATGATGCTGGTGATGGCGATGCTCATGACGATGGTGTCGAATAATCTTACCGCACCACTCACATCACATGTTGGCCACCCCCTCACCACATGACCCTCCAGGTGGCCAAGAACGGGAGATAATGCACGACGGTGCTTATCATGATGGTGACGATGACGATGGTGATGATGCTCGTGGTGGTGATGGTGAAGGACGAGGCTGTTCATGATGGAGATAATGATGATGTTGATGATGGTGCTGTTGGTGACGATGACGATTCTGATGATGACGATGGCAAGGATGATGATGACCCAGCATCTTATGATAACGGTGGCGATGACGATGACGATGACGATGACGGTCATGATGACGATGCCGACGACACAGATGACGATTATGATGATGATGTCGGTGAGGATGATGATGGGTGGTGATGATGGTGGAGGTGATGATGAGAGGAGACTGACGATGTTGACCATGATGATCATGATGGTGATGTTGATGATGATGGTGATGATGCCGATGGGGTGATCTTGATGCTGACTGCGATGATGATGTCGATGATTCTGATGATGATGCTGATGATAACGACGATGATGATGTGATGCTGATGATGGTGATGACGAAGAGGATTAGCGCAGAACCCTCACCACATGATGGCCACACCCTCACCACATGACTCTCTGGGGGGCTACGAGTGGGGGGTAATGGATGGCGGTGATGCTTATGATGGTGGTGTTGATGATGGTGATGCTGATGGTGAAGATGAGGAGGACGATGATGATGATGCTTATGATGATGATGCTGATGATGATGATGATGATGTGATGATGATGACGATTATGATGATGGTAATGACGCAGAATACGATGATAAGGACGGTGATGGCGATGACGACAATGATGATGACGTCGATGAGGACGATGCTGATGACGACGGCGATGTCGATGATACTGATGATGGGTGGTGCTGATTGTGACGATGCTGATGGTGATGATGATAATGACGACGACGATTACAACGATAACAACGCTGATGATAATTTTGATGCTGCTGACGATGATGATGACGATGATGCTGATGGTGGTGATGATGATGATTAAGAGGCTGATGATGCTGATGATGATGGTGATTATAGTGGTGGTGCTGATGGTGACGATGATGGCGGTTATGATGATGAGGATGTTGGTAATGATGATGATGGGTGGTGGGGATGATGATGCTAGTGGTGGTGATGGTGATGAGGAGGCTGATGGTGATTGGGGGGAGACTGATGATGATGCCAATTTCGACGATGTTGCCGGTGATGGCGATGATGATGATGATTATGATGATGATGATGATGCTGATGCTGATGCTGATGCTGATGATGATGATGTTGTTGACGTTGATGTTGATGTTGATGGTGATGATGATGACGATGATGAAGAAGGCGAAAACGCAGACAATTACCGCAGTACCCTCGTCACATGATGGCCACATCCTCGCCACATGACTCTCTTGGGGGCTAAGCGTGGGGGAGTACTGGATGACGGTGGTAATACTGATGGTGATGATGATGGTGGTACGGAGGACAAGGTCATGATGATGATGATGCCGATGACGATGACGATGATGACAATGACGATAAAGCCGATGCTTATGGCGATGACGATGGTGATGACGATGGTTCAAAATAGGATGATAGCGGTTACGATGACGATGACGACATTGATGATGCCGATGATGACGGTGACGACGAGGATGATGATGATGGTATGGGTGATCATGATGATGGTGATGAGATGATTGTTATGATGGTGGAAACGATAATGATTAGGACGATGATGATGAGGATGGCGATGATGGTGAGGATGACGATGATGATGATGTTTACAATTGCGTTGGTGATGAAGAGAAGGCTGATGATGATGATGATGGTGATGATCATTGTCATTGTGATGGTGATGATGTTGATGATGATGAGGAGGAGGCTGACGATGGTGGTTGTGGTGGTGATTGTGGAGCTGGTGATGAGTGTGATGGTATGGGGGCTGATAGGCATGATGATGATTATGATGGTGGTGGTGGAAGTGATGATGATGAGGCGGCTGATGGTGCTGACGAGGATGAAAGCTACATTGATGATGATAATGACGATGATGATAATGATGATGATGCTGCTGCTGATGATGATGATACGGTGACGATGCCGCTGGCGGCGACGACGAACATGATGATCATGATGGTGATACTGACGATGATGATTATTGGCAACGTCGGTGATGATGAGTCTGATGACGATAGTGATTTCGACCGCGAAGGGGATAATTATGATGTCGACGATGCTGGTGATTGTGATGCTGATAGTGATGATGATGATGATGATGATGATGATGATGAGGGGGCTGAAGGTGACGATGGTGGTGATGATGATGATGCCGATGGTGGCGATGACAATGGCGATGATACTACTAATGACGATGATGATCATGGTGGTAGTGATGTTGATGGTGGTAGTTGATGTCGTGATGGTGATGGTGAGGCTGGTGATGATGGTGTTGATTATGATTACGAGGAATCAGGTAATGATGATGAAACGAAGATCTTGATGATGAAGATGGCGATTCTAAGGATGTTGTTGGCGATTGCGGTAATGACGATGATGCTGTTGATGACGATGATGATGATCATGCTGGTGATGACGATTATGATGATGATGATGATGGTGATGATGCTGATCATGATGATGATGACGAACATGAGGATGATGATGCTGCTGTTGATGATGATGGTGATACTGAGCATGATGATGATGATCATACAGCAGATCACCGCGTTACCCTCATCACATGATGGCCACCCGCTCACCAAATCATCCTCTAGTGCGCTAAGAGTGTGGGGGGTGGGGGTGGTAACGGGTGGCGATGGTGATTCTGATGGTGCTGATGACGACGGTGATGGTGATGATGATCGTGGTGATGATGACGATGACGAGGTTGATGATGATGATGATGATGATGATGATGATGATGATGATGATGTTGCTGATCATGATGGTGATGATGATATCGATGACGATGCTGTTGATGATGGTGTTGTTGATTATGATGCTGCTGCTGCTGCTGCTGCTGCTGCTGATGATGATGATGATGATGATGATGATGATGATGATGATGTTGATCACCATGCTGGCGATGACGACGACATGGCATCTGAGCCCCACCATACCACCCTCCTAGGTGGGGATAGGCCACGCGAAACCTGAAGGAGCAGGCAGGGGCAGATCCCGGGCGATGT